AGGAAAATATCCTACAGTTGTTTTTAACTTGTCTCAGTACCTGAATACAGCTTATTGTGCGGCCACAGAAGAAATTATCCTGAAACAAATGAAGGGATGAAGCTGGGGAAGGAACAGTAATGAGAACGAGCAGTAGCTGAAAATGTTCAGCAGTCTGCCTGCAGTCAGGTTGTTTATTGAACCACAAATGTGACCTTTAGCAGATGCAGCTAACAATGGTGTGTTCTCAGAGTGATCTTCGTGCTGTATTTTCAGCTCTGGCATACCAACTTGGTTGTAAGCCTTTTGCAAATCATTTATCCTCTATTTTTTTAACGTGTAAAATGGCAATAATAAATTTTTCAACAGGGCATGTCTAGAGCAGTGCTTATACCAATGGAGATACTGTTGTGAAGACACAAAGAAATGCCACAGATAATAATGAGCACTAGATATAGTATTGTATTTACCAGGTTGCAAGGGGAGCTCCTGCAGGATGGTTAATTGTTTATTTAATTTAATGGTTTTGTTGGCTCTAACAATTTCTACTTCTCCCTCTTCTGACATCTTATTCTTTCCTTGCCTGTATCCTTTTGGAGGACCCAATCAATTGCCAGATGAGAAAAAAGCACTTTTTTTGGATCACATTACTCTTCCTGAGGTTGGGAGTCAGAGCCTTTAGCTAACTTGAATCTTGAGCTAACCTTAGAAAATGTGGTAACTTCTGCAGCAAGAGGAAAATAGTCACCATGAGGATCTTCCTTCTCCTTACTGCTTCTTGTAGTATATTTCTTTGATAACTTATAATACTCAAAACAGCCACTTAAGAAACAGAGTCTACTGAGGAGCCCTGTGCATGGTAGTGTGACTGGAAAGAAGTGAGTATTAGAGAAGGAGTAAATTCTGAAAAAAATTAGTCTAAAAATGTAAAATATCTCTGTGTTGTAAGGAGTAGGTCCCTGTAGGGTTATAATCAGGCATTTTGAGTTCAAATTTAAGTGAATGCTAGGTGATCGTTATGACAAGGAAGTCAGATCATCTTTTTCAGGCAGTGTTTAGCGTCTTTGGAAACTTAAAATCACGTAAGAGTATATGCTGTATTGAATATACCTGCTTCAATGCATATTTAGTATAAAACTTCTGATAAATAGCTTCTTCAATGATGCCTTATGCAAATTTAAAACCCTTATATATTCTCTCTACCCTTAATGCACTTTTCAATAAATGATAAAGAAGATTCTATTTCTTTTGGTGCCATACAGTCTTAATGTTGGTATTTCTGTGCAGGTGGATTTACTGAAGTGTGCATTTTGAGTGTGGACAAACCAACCACAGAGATAAAAATATGTCATATTTTCTTTCTTTCATCAAACTCCAGTTTCAGGAGTTTTTCTATTAATATCCTGAAGAGCAGAATCACACGCTAATATGTTATACCCTGCTTCCGTGCCTGCCACTGGTGCAAATCAATTATGGTAAGATTTCCATACACCTGCCAGTTTATTTTTAAAATGATTGGTCTCTGAGTAGCTGTAAATAAGACTAATCAAGATAAAGACTTTTAATAATATTTTCATCCTTCAGCAGATTAAGCAATAAGTCAATACTAAACTTGATAATTATCCAGAAATACTTAATTTATGGAGCACGCATGACTCAACATTGAAACTGGGCCAAATATTGCAGTAATTTCTGGATAATCCCATGTTTTCTGTTTTGTCAGAGCTTCTCTAGAGACTACAAATTCTGCTTGGCTGGACATGGGAGAGAAAATAGAACAAGTCTCACTGATTGAGATATGGACAGGGAGAGATCACTCACCAACTACTGTCATAGGCAAAACAGATTCAACATGGGGAAAGTAATTTAATTCACTGCTGATCAAATCAGAGCAGAGTAATCAGAAAAGGACCTCTAAATCTTAAAAAAGCTTCCTCACATCCCTCTCCTTTTCCTGTGTTTAACTTTGGTCATGAATTCCCTACCTCCTGTCCCCTTAAAGGTGCAGGAGGATAGCAAGTGTGGGCTGCAGTCAATTCATCACACATAGTCACTGTCACTCCTTCCTTCTCAGGAGAAGGACTCCTCACACTCTTCCTCTGCTCCAGCATGGGGTCCTCCATGAATTTCTCCAGCATGAGTCCTTCCCGCAGGCTATCATTCTTCATTAACTGCTCCAGTGTGGGTCCCTCCCACAGTGTACAGTCCTTCAGGAACTGGCTGCTCCAGTGTGGGTTCACCACAGGGTCACAAGTTCTGCCAGCAAACCTGCTCCAATGTGGGGTCCCACAGGGTCACAGCTTCCTTTGGGCATCCGCCTATTCCAGAGTGAGGTCCTGCAGGGGTTGCAGGTGAATATTTTCACCACTGAGGACCTTTATGGGCTGCAGGGGCACAGCTGCCTCATCATGGGCTGCCCCATGGGCTGCAAGGGAATCTCTGCTCCAGCGCCTGGAGCACCTCCTGCCTTCCTGCTGCACTGACCTTTGTATTTGCAGAGTTGCTTCTCTCCCATATTCTCACTCCTGTCTCTTGGTGGCAGTTGCCTTTGCACAGGATTTTTTCCCTGCCTCCTAAAATATTGCAGAGGTACAACTGCCATCACTGATGGGCTCAGCCTTGGCCAGTGGTGGATCTGTCTTGCATATGAATGGAGTTTGTCAGACACAGGAGAAGCTTCTGGAAGCTTCTCACAGGAGCCACCCCTGTATTTCTCCCGCTACAAGAACCTTGCCATGCAAATCAGATACAATATCCAAACATTCACCTTGCAGTGTAATATTCAAATGCTGGACTGCTTAATTTAAATAAATGAGGTGAACTTTTTGCATTTGTGGGTTTTTTCTCATATAGATGTAAAGAATTCAATGTGCAGATAGTTCTGAAAAAAAATTGCTCCTGACATTTTTAGAAGATTTAACAATTATTCTTATGTGTAACTCTGCGTAGTTATATTTTGATGTAACTTTTTAATATTATTCTTAAAATTTCAATTGGAATGAATGTTCAGTATGTTGACCGACCTCTGGAAACAAGGAACCATATAGATGGAAGTTTGCTATAGTTACATTTTAAGAAATTCACATACACATAATACTATTGCCTGATTGTTAAATGTCAGGCTATAGCTGAAGTGTGGTGCTTTGAAAGATAATGATTTAGATGTGGGTCAGGAAAAACAGAGATCATATCAAATACTCCAGACTTGTATGAAACTTTGTCTGAGAGCCCTCAAGAACTCCTTATGTTTTGTTTTTTATTTGTTAGGGATTTTTTTCAAATAGCATTCCCATTCATAGAAATCATGTGTACAGATTGGTTAACTGTGATAAATTGAAGTAGATCTCTGTCAAAGGCTTGTTAAAATCAATTAATGTCCCTATTAACACTTTTTTTCGAGAGCAAAAAATTAACTTAGCAGAATGTATTGTCTGAAAATTACTACTTGTGATCATCGAGTATGCTCTATTGCACCAGTGAATGAGGTAGAATCACTGCTTGCAATACTTTTCACTGTAATGCAGTTTTGTAGCATATTTTGTGGTTTTGAAAAAAATGATCAGAAAGTTAAATTCAGCCTATCAGATTGAATAAAATAAAGTGTTATCACTCACCAACAGGTCAAATCAATACTCCATTTTAGCTTTTTGACATCTTATTTCTTAAAGATATTTTGAAACTCAAGTGCCTTCTGTAGTAAGCAGCAGCATTTCTTTTGGCATTTTCTGTATTAGGGAGCTTCTGTCAAACCAGAAGTGTTATTAGAATATTAGCTAAGAAGGAATAGCTAAAAAATGTTTGGAGACAGTCACTTGCCCTCTCAAATCCTCTTTATTTAAGGAGTTTCTCAGGCTCCAGACAGGAGGCAGTGCTTAAGAGCTGCTTAAGAGCTCTTATGCCCTTTCTTTCTCTCCATATAGAATAGGTTCTGTAAAAAAAAAAAAGAAAAGTGTTCTAGGACATCTTTATCTGAAGACCCTTTACTAGTCAGATGAACTTAGTTTGCCAGCACAATGCGCAGAACTAGTAAGTGGCAGCTCTTCTCTCATCATATGGAACCATTCTTGGTTTTTTACACAGCCATATAGGCGATCCTTGGCGCAAAAAAATTCTGTCTTTCAACAGATCACAATAAAAAATTTGGTGGTGAAAAGTACTGATTTAGAATATATATGTTTCTTTACAGACAGCAAATAATCTGCCATCCAGGAAGCTGCAAGAGACAATTTTAAAGATAAATTCCTTGACTTATTTCTGAGATAAGTTCAATACTTCAGCATATGAAGTGCATTGTGTAAAAGTCCTTAGCATTACCTGGAGAATGTATCTCTAAAGACACCTTTATTTAAAAAGTGGTTCCAACCAGAGTATGTAATGAACTCAGTAACAACACTGGCAGCACACTTGTCTTTTTAGATACTAAGCAGAGAAAGTCAACCATACCAACTTAAGAATACTTATGCAAGTGAATATTTTGCTTTACACCAATCTCTTTATTAACATTGTAGTCAGTCAACTCTGGCAGCTTTTTTATTCTTTTCACGTGGTTGCTGCCATGTCACACAGTTGCTAAAAGTACTGTGTTACTCTCTATACTGTATAATATAATACTGTTATACTGTAAAATGAAACACTAAGTTGGTGTATTTTTGAGTACTGTAGACTTCTTCAGTTCAGGCCACTTGTGATTGAATATGGAATTCTAGCCATGGTTTTGAGATGGGCAGGTACGACTGAGGGTCAGACATATAGAGAAAGACATATGTAGTGTATCAGGAAAAAGATCGTCCTGTGGCATTATGAGTGGTTACGAATAAAGCACATTTTCATTTTGCAGAAGGTTCTGCAGTAATGTAGACATAAAGTGTTGAAAATTTAAACACTGTAAGGGTATGGGTGTAGCTCTGTAAAACACAAAATTTGCCAATAACGCTTATTACTTTTTGCTCTTTCTAAAAAGTGTTCACAACCTACTAAAGTAATAATAATTTTTAATTTTTTTCTCTGTCTCTTTTGTTTAGTCGAGGCCTCTTGCCCTGCAGAACATTTTGTGAGGCAGCAAAAGAAGGCTGTGAACCAGTCCTGGGTATGGTAAATGCTTCTTGGCCAGACTTCTTGAAGTGCTCTCAATTCCAAAACAAAACTGAGAATGACACCACTACAAGGGTATGCTTCTCACCACACCAAGAAAAAGGAAAGCAGTGTATGTTTCCATTCTTAACTGTTATGCTGTGTTTATGAGTTTTCATTTAATAATGTATTTTCTTTCTGTGTAGAAAAAGCTTTGAGTTGAAAGTATTATTTCTTGTTCTATGTTCCATCTTATTACTGTGATAAAGTCTGGTTGTCAGTTGATTATAGTTTGCAGTGCTTTAATTGTTCAGGCTGATTTTTTTCAGATTTGATTTCTGTGTTGATTTGAGGCCTTTTTGTTTTTCATCAAAAATTCTAAACTGTTTCAAGGAAAGAAGATTACTTTGCAGAAATTAATACAACCTGTTGACTTTTTGTTTGTTAGCTCTAGTAAACCTGGGTTTGTTATTTGGAGTAACAACCTGATACATATGCCAAATTTCAAGTGTATCTCCTTTTTTCTTGCAGTAAAAATGAACCCAAAGCTGATCAAGAGGTAAATTTCTCAAAAACCATGGTCTTTATACATGCACGCATAAAGTCATAGAATCATTTTTTATCTTGAAAAAGATATTGAAGGTCATCCAGTCCAGCTGTTAACTCAGCACTGCCAAATCCACCACTAAACCATGTCCCTAAGTGTCATGCCTATGCATCTTTTAGATACCTTCAGGGATGATGACTACACCACTTACCTGGGAAGCCTATTCCAGTGACTGACCAGCCTTCCCATGAAGAAATTTTTCCTCATATTCAATCTAAACCTCTCCTGGTGCTCCTTGAGGCTGTTTCCTCCTGTCATATTGCTTGTTGCTCGGGGGAAGAGACTCACTGCCATCTTTATACAGCCTTCTTTCTGGCAGTTGTAAAGACTGATCAGGTCTCCCCTGAGCCTTTTTTTTCTCCAGGTTAAAAAACCCCAGATCTCTCACCACTCCTCATAAGGCCTGTGATCTGTAGACCCTTCTCCAGCTCCATTGCCCTTCTCTAGACATGCTCCAGCACCTCAATGTCTTTCTTGTATTGAGGGACCCAAACTGAACACAAAATTCCAGGTGTGGCTTCACCAGTGTCAAGTACAGCAGGGGACAATCACTGCCTGCTCCTGCTGGCCACACCGTTGCTGACAGGCCAGGATGCCATTGACCTTCTTGGCCACCTGGGTATAAGCTGGCTCATGTTCAGCCAGCTGTTGACCGGCATTCCCAGGTCATTTTCCACTGGGCAGCTTTCCAGCCAGTCTCTAAAACCAAGGAATTTCCATCTCCTCAAAGTGCTGTGTTCTCTAGATCCAAATCTAGAGATGAGATCACACCTTTGAAAGCAGTAAGCCTGACTTTTTTCTCACTGACCCCATTGCTGGAGTTCCTTCGCTGGCATCTGAGACTCTGTTGTTGATATGCATTCTGTGAGACGAAGAGACTGAGGCTTGTACGGTCTATCTGTGGGTTCTAACTTTGTTAATGACTTCTGTGTGACAATAAACAGGAAAATATAGTATGATGAAAACTATTTTTCAATTTTTTATTAAAAAACCCCAAGAATTTATTTTTCAAAACTACCTTAAAAGATCAGGGATGTTATATGTTGTTTCTTTGAATGTTAGTTAATGGTACAATTAAAATAGTTTATGTATGCTGGGCTACCTTCTTGCAATTCCTGAGTATACATAATGATATTGCCTAAAATTATTAGACAAAGTCTTTTACCAGTTGGATTCTCTCCAGCTCTAATGGCACATTTTTGAAGAGTAATGAAATAAAGGAGGCTGTTGTCCCCACTTAACTTCATCTGTGGGAACTTTTGTATTGGCTGAGGTGGGGAAAGGTCCAAAAGATTGTGTCTTGTTAAAGCTGAATGATTTCCGGTTAAATTAACACTGTCCACAGATTTTTATGATAGAGTCCTGTGGTATTTTGTGCATGTTGCTGTTGTGAAATCTGCTGGGACAAGTGTCGTAAGTGTATTACAAAAAACGTATGATATCTATACTGAAAAAATTAGGTCTAATGGAACTCTTCAAATGGAAACAGTAAGCAAGTAATCATAAAATGCATATTCTTTTGCTGTAACTCAAATTCCCTATGTAGAATGGGACTAGAAGTGTCCTTTTAGCTCACAGGGTGAGGTAAAATATCTGTATGTTTGTTGTTGCCTTTGGTATCATAGGGATAACCATTTTAGAAATAAGAAGTACCATAATTTAGTCTTCATGGCAGGTTCAAATAACAATTAAGGTAAGAAGCTGTAGCATAAATAAATACATAAGTATGGTAAAGGCTTACACATTGAAGAGTAATTAGCCATGAGCAGTGGGTGACTATCATATCATTAACTGAGCATGACCATAGAATGAGGTATAATTCTGAAAAAGCAACAGAATATTGAAGACCTGGATTTCATGCCTGTGTGGTACATAAACTGAATATAAGGTATAATATAAAAATGCCTGTTAAATTTTGACAAATTATAGATGGTCAAAGTGTTCAAAAACCCCACCAAATCTAGATAGCTGAACTTAGATTAAGCCAGAAGAGATTTGTCACTTATGAAACTTCCATGTGGCTGAAATAATATATTTAGTATTGCTAGAGAAGGAGCTTTAAAGAATAGTGCCTGGTTATTAATTATTCCATGATCTGTATGGCAGAATTGGTATTAATCTGTAGTGAACTGCAGAAATTGCAGGTAAGTACACAGTGGAAGCTTGATTTTTCTCACCAGGGGAAGAAATGTAGAGCCAATTGTGAGATTTTGTTCCTCCTACCTGGCAGACTATGGAGACCCTTATTGTTCTACTTATTGTCAGTTCTGACATCCTGTCAGTATTTGTTGTGTATGAAACAAAAGGGGTTTACAAAATTAAGTTTTTCATTGTGTATGCTGCTTGGACATGAATGGCATGAATGGTTTTCATGTCTAAGGAGAGCCCATAACTGAACTGTCTTCAAGGATCTGCAGGGAGCCTACAAGAAAGATGGAGACAAGCTATTTACAAAAACATGTAGGGAAAGGACGAGGGGGAAGGGCTTCAAACTGAGAGTAGGTTTAGATTAGATATTAGGAAGAAAATCTTTACTGTGAGGATGGTGAGGCGCTGGAACAGATGGCCCAGAGAAGTTGTGGATGCCCCATGCCTGGAAGTGTTCAGGGCCAGGTTGGATGGGGCTGTGAGCAACTTGGTCTAGTGGAAGATGTCCTTGCCCATGCCAAGGGAGTTGAAATAAGATGATCTTTAAGGCGTCTTCCAACCCAAGCTCTTCTACAATTCTATGATTCTATGACTGTGGAGAATATTTTGACTTTTATTTTTATTTAAAAGAATGGCCCTAATGTGATTCCTCTCTGACTGAAAAAGGTAAGAGTTTGGGTTCATAAGGCTGCTTCTCCTACAGAAATAAAATGTGCTGTTCTTGAATATTTATTTCTGCAGTTTGTATATTTAAATATATATTGTATATACTTCTACCACAGTAGAACCAAGGAGCTGAGGCTGATTCTCTGCTCTATTCCCTTTTCATCTAGTGCTCAGCACAAGTTCCTTTTCACACTTCTCAGGGTTCAGTTCAGTTGAAAATTTCCAGAGCATGTTCTTGGCATATGACTGCTTATTTCTCAACTCTGTGGTTTCATTTGTGATTTGGTACCTCCAGATTACATGCAGTGAATCCTTCCCTGTCCACATATGTGTTACATATAATATGTTTTGTTTCATGTAATCTTCTTTTGTATCTTTAGTTATATCTTTAGTTATATCCTATGTTTATCAAAATTAAGATCTGACTGCTATACCTGTTTGTTCCACAGATTCTTGTACTGTATCACCCAATCCCCCTATCCCAAACAAAACTTTCTTTTGATTCGTCTTGTTTATTTTTGTCTGATTGTGGCTAAAAGCTCCATATCTTCCACATTTTCTGAACTGAGGATTATCACTCCACCAAAAAATCCTTGAAAGTCATATTTCCAAGCCCTGTTGGAGAAAATATGCTTGAGTCACATTCTAGTTAGAATCCTGAACATTTATCTTGGGCACAATTAACAGTTTTCCTAAAAGATCTTTATTGGTTAGAATAGGGATTGTCTAGTGGATACATATTGTATCCACATCCACATCCACTAATGTGTCATAGCTAAGATTTATCTCTTTGTCTAAAAGTTAGCTCCACAAGCATTGGAAATTGAGTGTACAATTCCACTGTGGGGAATCTATTATGAAATACATTCCTGGTGTGAACACAGATGTAATGATTGTACTGGAAAATACAAGCCATGCCATTATGGTAAAAACATCTGAATGTTAAATGACTGAGTCATTCAGTCATTCTCTGAATCACAGAGAAAACGCTGCAGGTCTGAAGGCCAGTGTCCTTCAGACTGATGTCTGTTTATACAAATGACAAGCGAATACTCAGTAGATGAGAAAATCAGCTACCCTAATAATAATTGTATGAATTATGCTTTGAGATTTAAGATAAATGGTTGAACTGGCGTCACAGGTCCAATGAGCTATGAGCATGTAAGGGAGTGAGCAGGAGGCATTATCAGTCATCCACTCCACATGTAACCAATAATGCATTCTGGGGGGAATGAATCACAGAAACCTTCCTAAGGACTGTTATTCATATCCCTGCTCACAGAAAAATTTCAGCTCTTCTTTTATCTCTCTCTCAACTGGCAATGCTTATTATGCTGTTTTATTTGCTTTGACTAGCCAACATAACGGCTGCTGTTAAAACCATGGCAGAAAAAATGCCCAGAAGCTTGAATGAGAAGTAAAGCAACACAGTAATCTGATCTAGATTAACATGGAGCTCTCAGAAGAGCCCTCAAGTTATTTTTCTCTTAACTTGAATTGTTAAATGTTTTTAAAAGCAGCAGTGAATATGATACTTCTACTGTTTATACAACAAAACTATGTAAATAACAGTATAGAATCATGAGACATTGTTCACTTTTGGGGTTTTTTTGCTAAAGAGGTATTACAAATGAATGTCTTTTTCTGTTAAAAAAGTGGTGCACAAGTGGCCTGAACTGCACTTCATTGCCATGAGATTTGTGGTTGGAATACACCTTAAAGATCATCTTATTCCAGCCCCTCTGCCATGGTCAGGCACACCTTCCACTAGACCAGGCTGCTCACAGCCCCATCCACCCTGACCTTGAACACTTCCAGGGATGAGGCATCCACAGCTTCTCTGGGCCATCTGTTCCAGTGCCTCACCACCCTCAATGTAAAGATTTTCTTCCTAATATCTAATCTAAATCTACCCTCTTTCAGCTTGAAGCCATTCCCCTTGTCCTATCACTACATGCTCCTGTAAAATGTTCTCCATCTTTCTTGTAGGCTCAAGTATTGGAAGGCTGCAATTAGGTCACCCCTAGCTTCATTCAAACTGGTACTAATTAAGAGAATTGGCTTTGAGGAACAACTTTGAGTAGAGAATTCAAATATCTGATTGCAACAGGTATTTACTTTTCTATAGGCAATGCAATTATATACATCCAATAGATAATTTTTCTGAGAGAAAGCTTTTAAAATCAGGAAGACATTATCTTTCTTTCGTGTCCTTGCATTTGCTTGATGCAGTGAAAAGGAGAGAGAGATGGTTTGTGTATGTATGACATTGATGCTGAACAGTTGTGAAAACAGCAATAGTGGAATAATTTTTTGAGGAAAACAAAATGTTTTTCAGGATTGTTGTGATGTTTCATGTGAAGAACCACGCATGGCTGATTAAACTATCTCCCCCACCAATCACTCTTTAATTCTATTGATCCTGCATTATAGTTTCTTGTGTTCTGTGGCTTTTATTCTCCTATTCTGTGTTCCTGATTTTTGCCTGTTTCTTTTCCAACTTGGAGTTTCTTTTGTGGCCTTTTTAGGCCACATCACTTGAGTGAAAGAAAAAGGTCTTTTGTCTTTTTTCTCCCACAGGATTTTGCATCCTAAGGAAATAGAGAAATGAACAATTTCACAGGGGTAAGGAGTTGCCAGCTTTTCTAATTCTATGATTGTGACCATAGTATCAAAACTTTCTAGAATTGACAGCAACAAGATACATACATTGTACTGCAGGCTACATACATGGTATAGGGAGCCGGTGATGAAAATCTGAAAGTGAGAGAATACAGGGATTCCTCTGTGTTCCACTGTGCTACTGTAACTATATTGGGTAAGAGAAAAAGTCTGTCTGTCTTACAATTCTGACTCCAAAAGCTGACAAAATCAAATGCCCAGAAAAGGAGAACAGGCCAAGACTATGTGGCAGTACTTTTCCAAATACTCCTGCGTTTTCCATCTGCTTCAGATTCAATAATTTTTCTGTAGTTTGTGACCTGCCATAGATTTTTATTCTATGAATAAAATAGAGTTACCCTTTGTTACATGAGTCTATGTATGATTTTAGTATCATGTTCTAAAATGTTACAGCTTGTCAATGGATTGCATGAAGAGCACTTCCTTTTGGTTGTTTTAATACCTGTTACTTCTTCCATAGCATTAGATAGTAAATGTGGTCTCCTCTTTGATTTTTTAAAAAAAATTGGCAGCACTTTCCATGGTCATTTTCACAGATGTAGAATGCTTTATCTGTTGCTATACCTTGAAATGCAACCAGATGTCAGTCTTGAGGATGGTAAAATAGTGTTTGTTTCAGTCTGTGCTCTCTGCAGCTTTCCAGGGACCTTTCCACATAATCTTCTATAGATGACATTCCAGTAATCTGGCTGGAAAGTACAGCACATAACTGGTCTTGCCTCCTCAAAGTCACTTCTGATAGTATACCAAACACAGGTAAAATAAAACATTTTTTTCTGCCACTGGTGTTTAGTCTAGGATTTTGGAAGCAATTCCAGATTGTAAACCTTTCTGGGTAAGGACGAAAACAAGCAAGTTTCTCTGTATAGCAAGGATTGCTTCCATTTTATTTGGGCTCATTTTACATAACATTTTAAATTCTTCAGGAATTTGGGTGTGTGTATATTTGCATGAGTTTTTAATAAATGTGTAAATTATTTACAGAGGTATCAGTAATTAATATTTCCCAGCATTTTTCTTTAGAATAACATTTTTGCCATTTGTAATAATTTTTGAGGGGAATGGTCTGTATTTTTTCCTATTTCAGACATATATTTCAGGCATTATTTCTTCTTCTGCTTCTGCTTTATTTTGAACACCCACATTGTTTCTGAGTATGGAGCCTGTGTTCAGTAAGGTGTTGCAAATGGTTGCATATCTAAATCCACTGGGTTCCAGATCAAACACTAAAATTTAATGTTCGACGAGGTGTTTGTTTCACAGCATTAGAGAAGGCTTTTATAATTTCCATTGAAATCTGATTTTTGGAGGTATGATGGAATGGTCAGCCTATGGAAAACTTCTTGCACAAGCTTGGTAAATTACATTCATTGGAGGTACTGTTCACAGTGTCTGTGCTCTCCTTGCCCTGAACACTGCACTGACTGGACCAAACATACCCAGTCATTACCTATTAGAAGACTGCAAGAGGTGAGATTAAAATTTCTAAGGATTCCTTCTGATTGCTGCTGGATGCTAAAACTGAGATAAAGAAAACTAATTTCACTCTTCCTCTTGCTTTTGTATAACATACAAGATAATCAGGAAAATGCTCACTTTGGGTGTGCAGAAATGGAGAAGCAGTTTTGAACAGGAGAACAAGACAGAGATGTATTAAAGAGGCAGAGGCAGGATGACTTCTAAGTGCTTCAACACACTTTTGTTCACAGCCCAGAAATGAATATAGGATCCTGGAATCTTTTCTCTTCTGATCTGTACGAAAAGTTATCAGATATTCCTTCTGTTAACAGATAGGAGTCCATTACTCCAGCTATCTTAGTACCATCTCTGTACTGATGGAGATCTCCATCAAAGCAAATCAAGATGGTTTCTTTTGAGCTATTTATGCTCTCTTCCTTTTTAAACATGAAGGAAATTGTGTAAAAGCCAAGTTACAAGAATGTAAGAGTACCAATCAGTTAAAGGTGCTTTTCCAACCTCTAAAAGCCTTTCTTGTATGATGAATTACAAAATCTTGATTATGCTGTCATACTGTATTTTTACCTGACATCATTATCTGTGGGATAAACACTGGTGTCCAGGGAACTAGTACTTCCATACCTGGGAAGTCTGTTGTGTCTAGAGGCCCCTGTAGAGCTTAGTGACTGCAGAAATCAGGAAGTGCTTTGTACAGGGCAGGGAACTGGAGGAATAAAAAGATCGGCTTATGATAAAGTGTGATATTATCATATGAAGTGAGATTTTTACCCTGTCACTATTGCAGTGACAATGTTGAACAAGGCACTTGAATAAAAATTTTCTCTACTGTTCTTTGAACACTTCTAGCTAACTGGGCTCTTCATTTCTATAGCTGGAGTTTATTTGCAATTGAGACATCTGCAGCTACAAGTAAAGGCAACAAGAGCTATTCTTTGAACATGTAAAATAACATCAGTCTTTACTCTCCAAAAAAAATCACATGCTGATTTTTGTGTCTTAGATGTAATTATTCATTACTTCTGAGAACTTTCACCTTAATATCTCATTGCCTCATTTTTCCTGCTATAAAATGAGACCATGAATGTTATCTAACCTCATGTTTGTCTTAGGGCTATTATATTTTGCAGTACATAATACCCTTCCAAAACTGGTAGAATACAAGTGAGGCTGTAACTCTTCAGTTAGAGGTTAGGAAATGTCCAGCCACAAAATGGGAGGGAACCTACTGAAGAACACATTGCAAGGGTGTGCAGAATGATGATGCTGGTGGTTTTGCACTACCTTGTTTCTGATGAAGAGTCACAAACATTACATGGCACAAACTAGTTGAAGATTTTTGGTTTAAAGTCTCTTAGTATTTTGGGCACCTTTCCATAAAGTTAGAGACCTCCTTTAAAATACATTGCATAAGCAGCTTTCAGTAACCATGTCATCTTTACACAACTAGAAAATTATGTTTGTATTGCAAAATCAAAATGATTATCTGTCCAAGTGGGCAATACACCCAGGAATGTCATATAAAAGATTTTGAAATTATTCCTAAGTTCTTATTACAAATTTTCCATAAGGAGTGTGTATTTCAGTTAACTAAGTCTAAGTTTGCCCTGTTTCTTGAGGATGGTAAAATAATAGTGAGACTTAGAAAAGAATGTAAGTATGTTGAAAAAAAATAATCTCTTGCTGACTAAATATGAAACTAATAATGAAAGTTCTGAGACTGTGTGTATTTGTGTGCACAGACATTGCCATAATGTGATAGAAAAGACTGCTATTCTAGGACCAGAAGTAAAATAAAAAATTTAGATAAATAGTTGAATGTGCAGCCAGTGAAAGCCTGAGCTATTTGTCATTTTTGAAAAACACTGGAAAAGCATGTCCAATGCTAAGTGATACCTCACAGTATCCACTGTATACCTGTCAGTTTGGCAAACTGTGAAGAATACCAAAGGGCTATACAGTAAAGCACATATTAAGCAGAAATTGTTATATTTTTGTAGACATATTCCACATGAGCACATCAGGCTCCTTCCTTCATCCCAGGGGCAGATTTAACAGGTGTAATAGTCTTTTCATGAGTCTGTTGAGGTCTTTTAAAATGGGTCATTAACTGGTAGAACTTTTAAATGTCTTTGTTCTATCTCAAAAATTGAGATTTTTTTCTTTTAGGTATTCCTCTTGACCTTCTTGCATTCAGTGACATTCCTCCGAGAGCTCTCCTAATCTTTTTCCAAATTATATATATTTGGAAATATACTGGAAATATATTTCAGTCCCTGTGGGAAGTATTAAATATCAGTTTAACATTTCTAAGACTCTAGTAGAACTAATTTTGTATTGTTGATGCTAATGTTTTTTCTCTACATTCTGTCTTTTCTGCTCTCTTATAGCACTGTGTGGAGGAGACGAGAGTTTTTTGTGTGCCAGTGGGATCTGCATCCCAGGGAAACTGCAGTGTAATGGCTACAATGACTGTGATGATTGGAGTGATGAGGTCCATTGTAGTAAGTTTCTTAAACCTTTGTTTAATGTAAATGTTCGTTCTGCTGAAGTACTGAATCCATGCAGGGAAACTGGAAACTGAAGCAGGCTATTGGCACAGAACAGGAGCTTTGCATAGCGTTTGCATATATTGACATTCAGACTCTGTCAGTTGCTGTGGACTATGTTTAGCTTTGGTCACTCAGGCCACAGCATGTGCTTTTGATCTATCAAATTTTATGCCTTGGGGCAGATATTCTGCAAGGAGCTATATGGGAATAAGTAGTAATTTTTTTGTGTGTTTTTTTTTCTTTTTTTTTAATGGATCAATAATGTGCATCAGAAAGGAACACTTCTGATAATCAACTGAATACTGTCAGTTGTAGCATTATCCTGATCCTTGCCATTGATTTTGGAGTAGATGCAAGACCATCTGTTTAGAAAGTTCTCATGGTCTCAACCCTGGATGCAATTTATTTAAATTAGTTCCAGTATGTGCTGCAGTAGAATGTACATACATGACCGCTTAATTTGTAATATATTTGTCTGTGGTAAGTGCATATCTTTAGAGCTCCTATGTGTTTTTCTGTGTTAACAAAACACCTTGGACTACAAACACCTTTAGAAAAGCAGAGAAAATGTACAGTAAGAAAACAATGAGAAGGCAAGAAGAAAAAGAACAGAGGAAAATGTGAAAAAATTAATAAATAAGGGCTATAGCAGGACATGATGCCACAAAACAGAATTTCTCATTCAGACTTTGACAAATGTCAGATTGTGCAATTTGCACTCAACTTAGAAGATTCTTATTAGTGATTTAAGAGCCTGGGCATTCCAAGACTCACAAAGCTGCTTTTAAGGAAGTTGTTGTTAGATTTTATCTGGGATACTCCAAACAATAAAGGACAGCAATTTCCTCCTGTTCTCAATATGAATAAAACTAGAGCTTACTTTTCCTTTAATAGCCTACAATTCATTCAGTGGAGGTTGAGATAATGTCTATTATATGAAGAGTATTGTATATTTTTATTTTCCAGTTTTTCTGTCAGCATTAGCTTTAGATTTAAAGTAACCTTAAAAATTTAAAAATGCCTGAGACTGTGGCTCTTAAGTTCTGTTAGAAATGGGACAAGAAGAAATTAGTAGTAAAAGAATAAATATATTACATGTTTTGAAGAAACAAGCATAAATTTCATGAGCTAAGATTCCCTTTGAAAGGACGCCTGTCTGTTTAACGACACAGAGTTTATATGAGAGGATGTCTTTCATTAGGACGCTTGACAGGAGCTGAGGAGAGGGTGTGGAGGTCAAATAAGACTTTCCTGAATTACATAGCAGAAAGAGCAAAACTGAGGGAAGACCTATTTGCCTGAAAGCTTTTCTGATAAAAGATGCTGTGTTTCTTGCAGTCCTTTCCCTTCTCAATGTCTCAAGTCACATCATTAAATTTTAGAATAGGTTGCTCAGAGTCCCATCAAACCTGACCTTGAGTATTTCCAAGAATGGGATGTCTACCATTTCTCTGGGTAACCTGTTCCAGTATTTCACCATCCTCATTGTGAAAAAAAATTTATTCTTTATATTTAGTCTAAAAGCACCCTCTTTTAAAACTATTACTCCTCATAACAATAGGCCCAGCTAAAAACTCTATCCCCATCTTTCGTATAAGCTTCCCTAAAGTGCTGAAAGGCCACTCTTCAGGAGAAACAACTCCAGTTCTCTCAGTCTTTCTTCAAAGGCTCTTCCATCCCTATGATAATTTCTGTAGCCTCATCTGGACCTCTTCCAACAGGTCCATGTCTTTCCTGTGCTGGTGGACCTAGAGCTGGATGCAACATTCCAGGTGGGCTTTCACAAAGAGCAGAGCAGAGGGTCAGAATCACCTTCCTCAACCATCTGGCCATGCTGCTTCTATTCCAGCCCAGAATACAATTGGCTTTCTGGGCTGCAGGTGCACAATGCTGAGTCATGTCCAGCTGTTCATTTACCAGTCCCCCCCAGTTTTTCCTGGGCTGCTTTCAATCAGTTCATTCCCCAGCCTCAGTTGATACCAGGGTTTGCCCTGACCAGGTGCAGCACCTTGTACTTGATCTTGTTAGAACGCAGGAGTCCCATGTACCCACTTCTTGAGCTTGTCCAGGACTCTCTGTATGGCATCCTGTCCTTCAGGTGTGTCAACCACACCACTCAGCTTGACATCCATACCATCTGCCCATCTCACAAGGAGCAACTTTGCTGAGGCTGATCCCTTCATCTCTGTTATTAATGAGTTAAATAACGCTGGTCCCAGTAAAGAGCCCTGAGGGCACTGGTCACTTTGGGATTCTGAGCTATCGACCCTTGGGATGTGATTCCTTGTCCACCAATTCCTTATCCACCTAACAGTCCACCCATGAAATCCATCTGTCTCCAATTTAGAGAGTAGGATGTTGTGGGGGTTTGCCCAGACCCATGTGCAGCAGGTCCTTCTGGACCCATACAGGGATCAAACCTGCCACCTTGGCTTTATTAGCTCCATGCTTTAAACAGCTGAGCTTATCTTTGGGTCCAGTTGTTGAATGTAGAAGATTCACAAGGCTTCATTTGTATTTTGATGGAGTGTAGAATAGGAATTTGTATTTAACTTTATGAAAATGGGGATTTCCCAACATTTATAACATTTAAGTTGAGCCTTTTACAAGTGGCAGCTGCCCATCTTACATAACAGATTAACCAGCTACCCTATACAATACATTATTGCAAATATCTTGAAGAAAATGTATATTGAGGCTGTTAGTTTTTCATCAAGTGAATCTTATTTCCCTGAAAGGAAGTTTGTATTCTTTTGGTTTTCCCTGTCTGTGTGGGCCTTTGGGTTGGCTACCAGTGTCTAAAGGACACTGCAGCAGCTTCAGAGGTATGAATGGAAAGAGGAATGGGGGTATGAATGGAAATTAAACAGTAAATTTATCCAGAGGAAATAACACAGAAAAAGGCAGTTTTGTTTCATTTGCAGGAGGAGCAGTGGAAGAAACACAGAAACTGTCAGAGTTACAAACTGATAAATAAAATGAAAGGTTGCCAGTGTACTTCATGCTGTTGCATATTCAAAACAAGCGATGTTTAGAATTTACTCTCAGCTGGGTGTTGGTCTGCTTACAGGAAGCAAGAGCTTAAATTCATTTTCATTTAGTGTGGGGTTTTTGTTATTCCCTGTTTTATGAATAATTATTCTTTTCGAAGCTAAATTAACTATTGAGTATATGGCTCATGGCTCAGTCATATTATTTTACTTCATATCCTGAAGCATTTCCTTCGTAAATTCTGTTTGGACTTTCTAAGATAATATGAAACTTGAAGAAAGGATTAATACTTCTGAGTGGGAAGGAGAGGAAGTGACTCATTTTCAAGTTCCAGAGTTTTTTTTCACATAGGAGGTGAAACACTTGGTTGACATTGATCTGAAGGGGTAGAAATCCCACTGCACCTTCTGGAAGAGTTCTGCACCTCTCAGTGTGTAATATCCTTAGAAAGACACCCTGCTTTCACTTGCAATCATGAACACAGGAGTCACTTGCCAAGAGGAGAGAAGGAAGTGGTAGCATGATTCTGTTGTTTTGTGGTTGATCATCTCAGAAGAAAGGAGGTACTTTTGTTCCAATCCCTGCTTTTTGAGCTCTCTCTCTCTCTGTTTTCAGGGGAAGAACTAATTTAAAATGCCCACATGTGCCAGTAAAAATGGGCACAAAGGACTGGTTTCAATGGCATAGCTTCAACAAGAATGAGGGATTGTCCACCCACCTGTTCTTTATCTCAGCATTCTCTCTGAAAAACTAGAGATCAAGGAATAGTCTAGAAGTCTAGTGAAACTGAATTGCCCACGTCCTACCTGTGTGCTTGAAATCAAAAGTTATTACTGATGAGACCAGATACCACAAATGATAGTTTCTCTTCAACCCACTGAACTGCAATGAAGATTCTGTGTTTTTATTGAACCTGATATTATTCAAGTATTATAGTTCTCAGAGAATATCTGGCAGGCTTTACTGATGCATCCAGTCATGAAAAAAAGGTTAAACCCACTTAGGGCTGACAATAATAATTCCTTTATGAGAAGGCACCAGGCCAAATCTGAGCTCCAAACTGTACTAAGCATAAAGCTCATTATAGAATCAAAGGCAGGCTCGAAAATAGGGTCTAGGGATCTTGATTTTGCTGTTAGTCTTCATCTCCACTTAACAGCCACATCTGGTACTCAGGGTTTTCCTAGTAACCTACAATGGTAACCTACAATATTTCTTGGGAACTTAATGCGTATAAATTAATTAAGCATTAATTTAATTAAATAATTGTTTAATAATGAAACAATAATTTAATCCCCATGTGCAACCAGAGCACTTTGTCCTTATGGTATTGATAAAAAAAACAGCTGGTAGGGAGAGAGTAAAAATTTCTAAAAATGGCTTTTGATTTTTCATATACTTCCAGATTTGTTTCTCATAAACTGATACACACCGGTATTAATGCAGACCTGTAAGTTGTAAGGTATCTTTAGCTAATGTTGTGTGTAGTCAGCACATTCCAGTGTTCATAGTTTATGTGAATGTTCCAATGCAACTTTAACATTTTATATGCTTTGTTTTGTAGACTGCAGTAATGATGTATTTCGTTGTGACACGGGAAAATGCCTCAATTATACCTTTGTTTGTGATGGATATGATGACTGTGGAGACCTTAGTGATGAACAAAATTGTGGTAAATGAAAAATTATGTGCTTTTCTAAAGCCTTTAAGAAATCAGAATTGCCTAAGCCAGTAACCTTTTTTCTTGAACTACTGAAAGAGTAATACACCCTGCTCTTACTGTATTTGAACAAAGTGAAAACTGCTCACAGATTCTATATGCAATTTGAAAAGGTTTAAAGGAGAGTTTGAGTCAATCCAAATCTTGAAGGGTTTGGTATTTAGAAGAAATACTACAATTTTCAATTTGTTTTAAACTAATTCCTAAGGATGCTTCCTTGCTAGCTTGGCTGGATTTAAATGAGTAAAGTAAATTATATGAGGGTACACACTGGTGGTACAAACAGTTTTATCACTGAATTGTTTTAATGTAAGATTCATAGTGAAGTCATATGTTTTGATCATCAAATTCTGTTTCTTTCAAATTCTCTTGGCAATCAACTTTGCATGTTCTGACTCATGATACTTACCTACCTACTATATGTATCTACCTGCTTAACTTCCATAGGAGAAACAATGAAGTTTCACCAGTAAAAAGAATAATCTTAACATGTGAACATTGGAAAACTTAGAAAGCTTTATTTTTACTAACTTTTGGTCCTGCTACTACACCTGAGAAAAATTAAGTTTTCTAATATAGTTCTTTAACAGCTAAAAATTATTTCTCACTTCTTTTGCTTTTCTAAGAACGAACACAAAAAATATAAAATCTGAAAATCAAGGCACTTTTTCTTTCTGAGTTTTTTTTAATATTTCTTCTCCAAATTGAGCACACTCTAAGAACTTCCAATATTTTCTTGTCAGTTTTGGTCATTTAGTGGGGTTTTTCATAAATAATCTTAGTTTAAAGATGATTCAGGTTTTTCTAAATGTTAATCTCTCTCGTATCTTTCCTACCTTGACATAAGTTTTTTTCTATACAGTTTTTAAAATCTAAGTTTTTTACATGCTATAATTGGTTTTCATGGCAGATTTGGAGGACTGGACTGTGTCTATTCTCTATTTATTTTGATGTAAAGTCAGTCTGCTCAACAGAATGCTCTATTTTGTGCATTCAGGCAGAAAGAGTAAGATGATGCTTGGAATAATTTCTTTGTAGATAATTCTTATGGAAAATTCCAAGTGCATGCAAAAATGTAGTTTCTGAAGTTGAGAAACATTTTTTAAAATGTCTTAGTATAAAGATAAATGAAGGAAATTATTTTCTCTGACGGTTACTGAAAATGTTGGTTAACTGAAAATCATTCCCTGAGGTGGTAAGCCAGATCTTCTAGTGTGCTTAACAAATCTTAGATTCTCATTTATTTACAAATAGTCACAGCTATTTGTAAATAAAGCTGAGAGAAGAAATTACTGCATCACTATACAAGCAATACAATTAAGATTATATGTAACTACCATCTGCAAAAACATCTGCAGATACAAAATTTTCTTAATATAATTTATTAATGCAAAATGGTTCATTAATAAGGAGATTAGCTAATAAACCTAGAATAATTTGTGAGTAATATAAAGTATACAAATGGTAACTTAGCATCTCTTTTTTTCTTCAAATTTGCATTTGATGTAGATTGTAATCCAGTGACACATCACCAGTGTGGAGAGGGGAGATGTATAACAGCTGATTGGGTATGTGATGGTGACCATGACTGTATAGACAAATCAGATGAGATCAATTGCTGTAAGTTCCCTTAATATCTAAATTATTTTTTCTTTCTTTGAAAACTTAAAAAAAAAAAGTAAGATAACTAGTGTACTAGTGTACTCACTTGGAAGGCAAAACTGTAAACTTATTTTATTTCAGAAGTTCACGCTTGACAAATGTCTATTTTCAGTAGACAGCAGCAAATTAAATATTTGTTGCCTTTGTTGAGAAGTAAAGCCTTGCTTTGTGTTAGAGCTTCTTAATTAATTACAGAATTAGCTTTTTGTTACCCACTATATGAATAAAAATTATGTGCATTTTTTTCCCTTGGGGAAGCTAAGACTTCATCTCAGCCTCTGTAGTTTATAGTTTATAGTTTCAGTCTCTGTAGTTAAAGATCAGTGCAGCTGTAGCTATTGGAAAACTAGCTGACATATAATGGAAAATGCCTTGTGATCTCTAAGCAGTGTTACCAGCTCCTCCCAAAATAACTTCAAGTACGATGTTCAAATATAATGCAGATATTCACTAAGCTACATTGATCAGAATATTGTCTTTTTAATATTTTTTTCTCTCTAGCATGTCACAGTCAGGGTCTGGTGGAGTGCAGAAATGGGCAGTGCATTCCTAGTGCATTCCAGTGTGATGGAGATAATGATTGTAAAGATGGAAGTGATGAAGAAAACTGCAGTGACAGTAAGGATATGCCTCATTTTACTCTTCTTACTAAACCTACCATTGACTGCTATGTTCCACACTGCCTTTAGACAAATTACTTTCTTTACCTTTTAAATAACACTTGCTAAGGCTGGTTGGTGTGTGCTTTACACAGACATTTTTAAGCAGACTTCTTTTAATACTTAAAAACATTAAAAAAGATTAAGTGAGGGTGATATTTAGTACAATATTTAGTTATCTGATGTGATCAGCTGTTATTTGAAATACATTGTTTGGAGCAATGAGAATCTACTATCACAGGAATTGGTGTCATTTGAGGAGAAATTTTCTCATTAAAATCCTCTTTCTTATCAGAGCTTGGGAATCAGAGAAAGAATGTTTTCATAAGTAAACTAATGATTTAGTGTTACTAAGGGAAAATATATGGGAACATAAGGTTTTGCAGCTACTTGATAGCTATCTTATATACTCTATGAGAGAAGAAGAAGGTATTTTTCACATGTAATTATCTTATTTCTGGTAAGGTATAAGTTCAGATTGCAGCCTTCCCTTCAATGCAACAATTATTAATGTCTTTTTTTAATGTATCTTATTTTAAATAAATTAAAATAGTTAACCTTATGCAGAACGATAGTGATGGTAAATGTAGTGGTAATAGGACAGGCTATTCAATAGTTACTAGAGTAGGTAAGACCTGTTACCATAAAATAGATACACACAGTAGTTTTATAAGCCTCATATCTTTAGGAAACCAGTCTAAAATAAATCCTTTTGTAAGAATGTTACTCAGTCCCTTCTTTTCATAGAAAATTCTTGGGATCTTCCTACTCCAATTTAAATACCTTCATTCCAAAAAATACCTGAGAAGTGGAAACATAGACATTATCATTATTTTTCTTCACTTTTAATGTTGACATTTTAAAAAGGTGTTGCATGAAATATTTTCTAGTTCTGACTGTGGCAATCTAAACACACAGAAAAAAGTTTATCCCCTCAGTTTTGACATTGCACTTTCACAAAGTGTTCACCTTTTATTCTTCTTTCTTGGTGTTCAGTCTCAGTCTTATTCTATGAATTCTTTTATCCTCCATTTCTCTTGCATGATGTGGGCTAGAAATCAGTGATGTATTTTATCACTGCCTCTTTTTTCCCTTTTGATGTTGAAGCAATGGTTAAAAATCTGGTTTTGGTATGATGAATAGGTATAGGTATTACTATTCAAGCAGTGGTGTGCAGTGATAATTATGTATTCAGTGATATCACTAAATGATAAAAGATCTTTCTGCTTGGCATTGAACTGTAGAACTTTTAAATTTAAAAAATTCCTAATTTTTATTATTAATTCTCCCATATGAAAAAGTTCTATCCAGTATTTTGCAATATTTTGCAGTATTGCGTAGAGCAAAATTCTTTCTTTAGGCAACCATATCCCATCCATCCGTATTTGCATAGGAATATGTTGGCAGAATTTAGATTTCATTCATCTTTAGTTCTTTGCAAAGTCCATGTAAAACAAGGCAGAATTCTTGTTTGTAACTTACTATTGTATTTCTTATATATTTTCTTGTTTCCAGCAACTGCAAAAATGTAGTAGGACATTTACTTATTTCAAAGACTTTTTTGCTTTACAAATCAAATAAAAAAAATTTGGTTATGTCTGTCAGTCAGTGAAGTTATGGCTAATGCAGTCTGGAGTACTGGTTTTGTTACAAACACAATAAATATGTGAAATCAGCATAGAAATTTGAGGTCAAGGTATAGTGACTTCCCCTTGCCTATAAAAGAATGCAAGGATCTTATGTCCTAGTACATTCAGGGTTACAAATGACCATTGCTTCATCTCTATTTGGATGAGAAAAGTGGTCTTCTTCACTACATACCTTAAGAAAATTTAAGGTATGGCATCTATCTGTGAGTACTACTCTCATTCATTTTGCTGCAATAGGAATCTAATATAGATGAACTCACGACTGTTCCTGTGACCTCTTCAAAAGAACAGTGTACAGTGTATTTATAGAAATTCAGCATTATTTGCACTAGGATCAAAAGAATCTACATTGTAGGACAGGGATTTTTAAAGGCTAGGAAGGAGTTGGAGAAAACTTCAAAAATAATTTTAATGTAAATATTTGGGATAGCTTTAGAAGTCAAAAGGTTTTTCCTGCCTTTCAAATTCCATTTTGCAATCACATGCAGCTGTAAAATAGATGGCAAATTGCTATAGCAAAGAAATTACTTCTATTGCTTCAATATATATCATGTATGAATGGAAGTAAATCCACATATTTATGATAGATATGGCTTGATCTTCAGTTCCTTTAGACAAGATTGTTGTCAAGGCTATTGAAACTGGATCTTTCTTCAGTACCTTCTGTATGTCCAATGAAGGCATGAATGATATTCCTGGGCAGTAGTGCAATACAAACTCTAAGCAATCAGCATAATAAGCTATTTTAAATAGGATAAAATGATAAACATCATCTATTTAATCTCTTCTTACAAATAAGTAAACTAAAATGACTGATTTTGCACATAGAAGAGAGAATGTAATGGTTTGGAAAGGAGCTATCACAACTGTGAGAAGGAGAAGTCCAGGGATTTCTCATATAAAGTAACTACCAAAGTAGTTCAGAAACTTTTGACGAAGGGCTGATTTTATTTATTCTGAAGTCCATCATTAGGACCATAGCATTTTTGGATTTCTTTTTGTTGCTGTTGTTTGTTAACCAGTCAAAGGAGAATGATTATGCTTCATCTCTGACCTTTCTTCAGGATATCTTTTATTGTCAGCCAAAACAACCATAAAATGAAAAGCTGATCAATTGAATGGCATTGAATAATAATTTCCAGACAGTGTTCTCTTTCATCTAGGACCTATTGTTCTTTTTGAAATGCAATTTGCATGACTTTTCATATTCTGCATGGTAAATATCTTTCAGAGATCCATGCCTCTCATACAGAAACTGGGATATAATTTTTTATATTGAACAGAGGGGTAAGAAGAGTAAGAACTGGACGGTTGTTGCACACTTTTCTTCCTTAATGCACTTGAAATACTATTGGAGTTTACAATTACTGTGTTTATATTCCTGAACTGTGTATTAAAGGAAATACTTAATTTTTATGTAAACACTGTACTTTCTCATTACACACCAGTCATTTTTATTCATCTGGTAAATAATTTGAAAAGTACATTACTATTTCCCTCAGATCAAACCCTCTGTCAGGACGGAGACCAGAGATGCTCTTTCTGCCCTGATCCCTGTGGAGCTTCCCCCTGTGAGATAAGAAACAGCCAGGCAAACTGCAGTAAGTAGGTCACATGCTTCATACTGTTATTCTTTTGGGGTGTTTTAGATTATAATTAGGATGCAGGGTAGAACACAGTAAGTAATACTTTAATTTTCTAGCTAATGTACATGTCTAATGATTAAGCTTTGAAAAGGGCAATGTTGAAACAAATGTGTCTTCAAAGCTCTTGATTATTGATAGGATTTATTGTATTTGACATTGAGGTATTTTAATTTTCTCTTCTGTGAACTTTTATACTTTCTGCATGGGTGTTTACCGTTGCACTTTCTCTTAGCATTTAATGACATTCAGTGTCTGTGTGAAGTAAACAGCATAGTGTAAATGTAAAGGAGAAGATACTAATTTATTTTCAAAATATAAAAAGGCACGTTTCTGTATTTAGTAGTCTAGAGAACTTTTAGGTCTTTATGAAGAGATAATTTTGGTATTGAAACTGGAAAAACTAATTATACTTCTAACTAATACATATTGTAGAGGATCAGGGTCTTCAGCTCTGTGTTTCCTCATATCTGTGTGTACCACTTCATGCAAGGTTCCTGTACTAATTGTGCACTTGATTCTGAGTAGCTGTTTTTCTCAATGGTGCAATGCCACAACATGAATAGGTAATCAAGAGGAATATATTTCTCTATGTTTTGAAAGTGGGGCAGAACTGTATTAAAAATTACTCCAAATTAATTGAAAATTAGTATTGTGTTAATACAGTCACATCAGTTCAGGTCACCTTGATGGATGGACAGACTTGGCTTCACTTACCGATTGTTTTTACACAATTCATATGTAATTGCTTTGTGCTGCAGTTATCTCTGCAAGGTATCAATGCTTTGATACTATATGGTAGCTTGTGTGGATAATGTAATTCCATTTAGAATAGAATGGACATGGGAAGGTCAACTAGTCCAAACTCCATATTCTTTCTAGAGTTGTGACTGTAACCTTCAAGTGTTTGAGACAGACACTGCTAATGCTGGGGCCTTTAGATGCTGCTAAACTAAAGCTGTAATATACTTTATAAAGCATAAATGCTTTACATGTGCTTCTATCAATGCTTACCCTAAGGTTTTGTAAAGGAGTAATCTTACATACCATATATAGCATTAGAAGGAAACTAAGTAACACCTTTGGTCAACAAGCCCAAACTCCGGATCAGATCAGTGCCAATTAAGTTATGTTGCCCATGATCTTGTGCAGCTGAGCAGCTCTATCCTTAAGGACATAGATTCCACAATCTTTCTGAGAGATCTGTTTTACTGTTAGAGCACTTCCTTTCTGAAAACCTAGTTTCCATATAAATAATTTGGTTTCTCTCATGTCTTTTGCCTCTCATCCTATCTCTGCACACTTCAAAGGGTCTGGTTCCATTTGATTTACAACTTCCCATTAACTGCTAAGAGCAATATGATCTTACATGAAAGATGTCTTTAAGGCTCCTTCCAACCCAAACCACTCTGATTTTTGACATGTAATATTTGAATTGTAAAACAATGTTCCTATGCTGTATTATGAGAAACCCAAGAACTTTTTAGTGAAGATGTTTACTCAACATATTATGGGCAGCTAGTAGTTGTGTAGTTCTTAGCAGGAGTAACACGTAGTCTGAAATAGTCTTCTGGATCATCTTATTTGTCCTTTTCTAGTCCAGTGAGTATTTAATTGTTTATACACAATGGAACAATGAGACAGTTTGGGACAGATTTTTCTTGCATAACATCTGGAAGTACTATTGTCTTCCTTTCATTTTGTTTTTGTTCTTTGTATTTTGATCAGTTATTTTGTCTTTGGTGAGACACGAGAATTCTCATGAAAAATTTCAGTTTTGGCAAAGCAGTTCTTCTTGACTCAGATTACTATCTGGTTAAAAAATTCCAAAACATAGGCCACATATCCCAATATTGAATATGATGGATGTTTTCCAAATGTGGTAATATCAGATCAGTTTAGGCTGGCATTATAGTGTATTTACAATGTATTTCAGATAACAGAATGGGTATCTGAAGGGAAGGTGTAAAGAAGACAAGGCTCAGTGACAGGATCAGAGGCAATTGGCACAAAATGAAGCACAAGAGCATAATGAAGCTCTGACAACAAGCATTTTTTTTTACTGCAAGTTTGACTGGACACATATTTCCCAGAGTGGTTGTAGAGACTCCAATGGATAGAGCAAGTTAATAATAAACATGGGAAGATATTAAATCCAGGCATAGTCTATGTGGTAATTTCTTGGTTTGTAGGGGTTTTTTTTGTTGGCTTGGATTTTTTTTGTTTGGTTGTTTTGGGGTGGGTTTTTTTGTTTGTTTTTTGTTTTGTTGGGGTTTTTTGTGTTGTTCTGCGTTTTTATTTTTATTTTGTTTGTTTTTGTTTTTTCTTTTTTTAATTCAGTATAAAAGATGCAATGAATTTTATTCCTTGTTCCCCACTCATTAGTACTCAGATGTACTATAAATAAGGGAGTAGCTGGACCTCTTAAATTGTAGGACAGACTCAGAAGGAAAGACTAACATTTGGGTTACTTAAAATGTGTCAGATGTTCCCCTGGAGCATATTTTCTGCTTATTACTCTCTGGATTTTCTCTGGGAATTGTGTGTAAGAGTCCTCTTTACTATTGTCAAACCTACAGTGACACCTTTGCGCATAATGTAATAGAAGCTTTCTAAACACAGTGTGAAAATTATAGTCATATTGAAAAGATGTAAAGATCTATCCTCCAGTGGCAGAGGAGGATATCCTCCTTACAGAGGAGAACATGTTTGGATTTTCTTCCAAAATTCACTTAAACCCCTATAAATATGAGGCATAATAAAAGAGAATGGTATATGGGCATTTCAACCTTTTAATCTTGAATAATGTTATGTTATACAAGCACTTAGACTGTTGCATGTACTTTTGTGTTCATCCTGAAATATTGATGAACATGTAAAGTTCTGTACACATCAAAGAAAGATATTTACTTGCCAAAATCAAAAGATGATCTCAAACTGATCTGGGCAACTTAGACAAAATTGTGGAAGGACAAGGGATTTTTCATCATGTAGGAAAGGAAATGGCAGTAATGTGAGGAGAATTGTTAAAGTCATTGAACCTCATATACACAAAAGATGTTACTGCGTGGTTCGAGACAGCAGAAATAGTTCAGTGTTGGTAGTATGCCAGGATTTAGCAGCAAGGAAAAGCTGCATGTAAAATGAGCTTCGTGATCATCAGATTGGGGTAAATAGTAAAAAAAGTTATAACACCAAATGCCAGACCAAGAAAGAGTGCCAAGTTCTACTGGTTAGCTCAATAATTGACTGCTGGATCTTCTTCTAACTTCTCCCAGAGATACAGCTATGGGATGACATATGTCACACTAGCAACTGATGCTGGCGATTGCCTAGCAGAGAATATTAATAATACTAAGTTATATTTGCTCCCAGAATAAGCAATAATATGTATTTTTTAATTTTTGAATAGTGTACTCTTTTGTGGAAAACTTTCTCAATAAATCTAGAGTAAATGAGTTTAAATAATTTCAAAATCATCTCATTGCTAAATAAAATGTTGAATTTCAGTCTGAATTGAAGTGAAATTCTGTCTGTAGTTTTCTGTTATGGTGGAAAATAGAAAAATAAATATTTCTGAATACCAACGTCAGAAGAAATACAAAAGCTATGTGATTTTTGAAAATCCAAAATACTTGGATAGCTCAAAATTTGTTGTGTTAAACTCCCAAGAGTTGGAAGATTTTTGTATGTAGCTATAATATATATAATCTTATGGACTTGTAGCTGTTGCATCTGTTTTGTCTTTGCTTATCATTCTCATCTGCTATTAGTTAAGTCTTTCCCAAATTAAATCATTAGCATGTAATGTCTCTTGCTTGATGCTTGTGCAATACATAACCTATTCTTCCTTTAGATCTTTGTAAGCAAGGAAAAAAAATGAAAAGCAAATCATGGCTTCTGTTTTCTAAAGAGAGAAATTGTGCAGTCTCTGTTGCCAGAGATTTTTTACAAGCTGGGAAGGCTGATCAGTCCTCAGAGCTGACCTGCTTTGATCAGCACATTGGAGTAGAGACCTCCTGAGATCCTTTCCAACCCAAAGTACCTGATGATTTCTGTCTTCTTAATTTTGGCAGGTGCCCTATTAGTGTGCAATATGTCATGGTAGCATAGAGGTACACCAGTGGGAAGTGTGCTACTGTACAGTACGCTGGTTTAAGGATGGTACCACCTTAAAGTTAAGATGTTACTCAGAAAGTTAATGAATACTAATAAGGGAATAAAAGTCTCTTAATGGGTTGTGAGGTTGGCAGAATTCAAACCCACCTTTACTGCTACAAATAGGCTTATAAGGGATCTCTAGCTCTGGAGAGAACTGGAACTTGTGGTTTTTCAAGCCTTAGAGGATGAATTTGTTAAATAAATATGGAATTATTTCTTCTGTATTTAATTTAATCTCACACCATTTGTGGTTCTGTTTGTTTTCTCTCTGTGAAAGGTCTGTGTGAACCAATTACTCTGGAACTTTGTATGAACTTGCCTTACAACTATACTTATTACCCAAACTACCTGGGCCACAGGACACAGAAGGAAGCCTCTATCAGCTGGGAGTCTTCCCTTTTCCCAGCTTTGGTTCAGACCAACTGCTACAAGTACCTGATGTTTTTTGCCTGTACAATCTTAGTACCAAAATGTGACCCCCATACAAATCAGCGGATCCCACCTTGCAGGTACTACACTAAACCATATTACATTTAATTCTTCACTGATTGTCATAGTAGTTTTACCCAGTTTTATGCTTTCATTGAAAGTGCCAAAAATTTTGCTTTGGAATTCCATAGGAAAAGGCTATTGCTGACCAGCATACTCAGCTCTCCACAGGGCTGCTCTCCAATTTGTGCCTGGTACTACTCCTAGGTGCAGGATCAGGCATTTGTTCCTGTTAAATTTCATGTTCCTGATGATTCCCCAATGCAAAGGCCTCTCATCCCTGGAGAGCCAACACAATCTCTCGGTTTTGTATAATCAGCAAACTTGCTAATGATGTATTGAACTGCTGCATCCAGACCATTGATAAATGTACTGAACAGGACAGAGGAACCCAGAGGAGCAGCACAGGTGACCAGTCACCAGCCAGATGTAGCCCTGTTTGCCAGGACCCTTCAGCCAGTTTCTCACCTAGTGCGCTGTGAACCTGCTGCCTCCACTGTTGAGCAAGGTGACAAGAAGGGTGCTGTGAGCTTTGTGTGAAGTATTTTCCATTTCTGTGTGTTTGATTAGAATTGTGCCACTATAAAGAGTGTTTAAACATGGAATAAATGAATTTAATTTGGAACATTACCATTTTTTAATAGTTCCTTGTGTTAGTATTGATGCAAAGCCCTATCCAAATGTTCAACAAAACCTGATATTTTAATGAATGTTTACCTTTCTAAATTAGGAGTGCCTCGTCATTCTGAATTACAGGCTAACTTAGGTTTTCTGCTTGTCAGAGTAGCTATTCCACCATCCTCATTGAGTAACATCACTGTGCTTTTTGAAGTTATGCCTGTATTTGTTCAAAGGAGATTGTTCTGTAGATCTCATGGCTTTCTTAGCAGCAGTTGTTGCAGGTTAGGAGGTCTTGACCAACTGGAGGCAGAGCTCTTTGACCTACTAACTGCTAGAGCCCTCTCATTCTGCATTTCTGCCTCTTTTGTTGGGCCTACCTTGACAGTATTGATTAATTAACATCTTCTGTTTGAAAGTGCATCAAAAAATGCAGTACACATCCTAAAATTTCTTATCATGTGATACTGTTGGGAAATAGGTAACATTACTTTGTCTAGTGATGTTCTTCTTGGTGCAAGGTAAGAATGAACCACAAGGAAGTTTATTAATATGCTGTTAAATTCTCACATAAGAACCTAATGGGAAAGAAAATATTGCATACAGGATAGCTTCAAAGTTACAGAGGGGTTTGTGTAAGCTCTGTGTCAAGCTTGCTAGTTTGAAAATCAAGGTTTTGTTTTTTTTTTTTTTTAAGAAAGCAGGGTTAAATAAATAAGAATTGGATGAACTTATTCTAGTGTAGAGGGATGTCAGTTAAATGATAGGCTCTTTACCATCCTACCTAGCTAACAGATTTTAGGAAGTGTGATGATATAGTTGAATAGTCTTCAAATTTAAAGTATTAAACAGATGAAGGGGAACTTACAGAAAGCACAGAACAATTTAATTTGATAGCAACCTCTGTAAGTCATCTGGTCCAACTTCCTGCTCAAAACAGGGTAACATCAAATTTAGACCAAATTGAATATACTACATGAAAGTTTAAATCATGATTCAAAGCTCTACTTTTACAATAGTTTTTAGGTTTCACTCTTATATAAGGTCACAGGTAAAGAGTGTTTTTGTCAGGAAGGGACACCTTTGAAGATCCCATTAGATCTGTAGTATCTGCTTAACAATAACATTTTAGGAAAAATTTCAGATACTTGCATGAAGTAAAAACCTTCAAATGTTTTAAAAATGAAAAAAGAAAAATAACCTCATACCAACAAAAATTAATTAAATTTGATATTTCAGTATAAATGTGAATCTGCTTTGCAATTTGAAGCTCTGAAAAGAGAAAATGTTTCATTGTTGGCACAGAAATTATATTCTGAGAATCTGCTGCTGACTTTCAAAATAGCTGCCCTCTTTTTCAAATTATCTGTGATTAGTTTGGCTTAAGAGGACATATGTATTGTTTTACCTGTCTTTTCCTGTAAATATGAAACTGAACTAATGCAGTCTTTCAGTGTTATGCTTTGTAAGTCAAAGTGTACTTTCCAACCATGCATTGCACATTAATGTTATAATTCTGGATCTGTTATAATACAAACTTATCAGAAATGCATTAGATTTTTTTAATACAGGCACATGGATCTGCTTTCTCATTCCAGGTGCTATAACTAAATTATTTTAATTCTACTCTCCCTGTACAAAACTGCTGTCCCTGCTTTGCAAGGCTTTTTGTTGTCTTTATGTTAGTTTGGCTGTCATGCTTTGTTTTTTGACTATGGCAGTCTTCATAAAATTTTATTCAAAGTAAAGAACACTAAGAGATTTTTAGGAAAGAACTGAACTTACTGTTATCTATAATGTTATTGATGCATCAAGTATGTTTTCAATTTCTGAACATTATTCTTTTTCTCTGATAAGGCAATGATAATATTATTCCAGGCCTACTTTGAAGTTTAAATAGATTATAATTCTTTCACCACAGACAGACAACTAAATGGCTTATAATACTCTGGAAAAAGGTCAGTTTTACCAAAGATCTAAGTATGCAGAGAACACAGGACAGAAGCAGCTTAGATGTCTCTGCTATATTATCATATTTTTGTTGTGGATTTTGTTTTTTGTCACTGGGAAATAAAAGTTCAGGCATTCAGAAATCTAAGATTATAAAGTGGTGTCATTCAACCTCTTTGATATTGAGGAGAATCTAAAAAGGAAGAGAGAGTCTGTAACATGGTTAACTGACATCAATGTGTTCTGTCTTGTTTTTCAACTCAGTGAATTGTTTGGTGTGGAAAAGCATTGACTCTTCTTCGTCTAAATCCTCAAAACAAAATTAAGTTTGGGTTGATTAATACTGTATTATTTTCCAAAAAGAACATAAAATAATTAATCCTATATGGATTTTTTTTTGTTGGTTTTGGTCACAGCATTTTCCAAAGCCAGTTGCAAGAAAATAAAAAAGTTCAATTAGTCAAAAGGCCAAAGAAAAATGAGTAGAATAAAATGCCTTCCACAAAATGAGTGTCTCTAGAAGAAAGATGTGTAAATATGAATCAAATTACATAAAGGCAAATTTAAAGTTACATAAAATAAAATAAAAAAAAAATAAAGGGTGGGATCATTTAGTTGAATATTTTTCAACCTATAACTGGGATCCCAGACAGAAGTACTGGCTAAATGTTTCACACATTAGGGGGTTTTTCTATTATGCATTTTCTCTTTGTAATTTTGAAGCATTTGACAGTGGGTATTTTGAGAGACGTGATGAATGATTTTCAATCTCAATGGGTTGAACAAATTTTGCAGTGAGTCCCATCTTTTATATGGTTAAAAAAAAAAGCTGCAGAAGGACTCTATTCATGCCTTTTCCTGATTTGACCAACCAAACTTGTCTAACACCAGATGAAAAAGTAGAAGGTATTCTGTTGCACTGACAACATCCTTAAGACTGAGTTGGTCTGAGCTTTGCTTTTCCTAAAGTTTTAATTTTATTGAATTCACTGGGGAGCTCTTCACTCTTTTGTTTGCAGGCTTAAATATTTTGTCCTTCAAAAACCACATGGTTTCTGAAGTAGCATAATCATAAGAGGTAACATTTCACTAGTACAAAACGTGTTTGGGTTTTTTTTCCTGAAGGAAAGCAGTTAGTGCTTCTTAAAAAACGTTCTCTGCCATCTCTTACAGAGGAGAACATGTTTTTAAGCAGTTATATTTGGTTATTATTAACCTATTAATAACATAACTATTTATAATATAACTGCACAACAGTAACTTAAAATAATGTTTTAACAGTAGCGTTCTTTGATATTGTTTTTTTTTCATATTAAAACATCTGTTTAACTGATCCTTTTTCTTAATCTTCATCTTTAACTTTGGCTAGGATTATTAACTGTAAATTATTATCTATGAATTTCTAAGCCATTCATTCAGTTACTCTGTGCAATTCTGCTTTGTCTCCTCAGGACATTATGTGTACAGTCTAAGGAGCGCTGTGAGGCTGTGCTTGGGATTGTAGGTCTGCAGTGGCCAGAAGATACAGACTGCACCCAGTTTCCAGATGAGAACTCGGACAATCAAACTTGTCTAACACCAGATGAAGATGTAGAAGGTATCTCCTATACATATTACAGCAAATAAAATATTTAAATGGATTACCAAAGTCACTGGTGTTTGTTTTTTTCATACCTCCTCTTTCAATTATAATATTTAAACTGTGGAAATTATTCCAAACTGGGTTCCCCTACTCATGCCAGTCCCTTGGGTTCTTTGCTGGATTACTTGCTGCAGGGAATTGCTAACACTCAATTAAAGTGTTCCTTAAAGATCTGCCAACTCTGTTCCACTCCTTTGTCCCAAAATGGTACTGTGTGAGATGAGGCAGAAGCATTGAAAGGGTTAATTAGTGGAAAGTTATACCTGGTTTCATTAGTTGAAATAGACACATAATTGTCAATCTCTTTTGTTTTTGTTTTTGTTTTTTATTATTATTATTATGGGGAGTTCTTATACTTATTTCAATGCATAACACAGCACCACAATGGTGAGAAGAATAGCTGGGAAATCCATACCCATGGTCTAAACATTGTATGCCAGTGATTTGGCAAAGCAGTGACATTTTACAGAGGGCAGCACATGAGGGAGAGCTCTGGAAAACATTGCTCCACCATGTTCCAGGTGCAATTATGTAGAGTCTCACCCGATACACAGTTCCAGTCTCACAAGCTTTCAATCCCTGTTATTTACCCTTCTGAAACAGCCCCAGAGATAAGTGAGTGCCCATGTCCTGATATAGTTTTTATCTTACGGAGCCCTGTTTCTCCCTGTTTGCTGTCTTTGACAGAATGCTCGCCCAGTCACTTCAAGTGCCGTTCTGGGAGGTGTGTCCTGGCGTCCAGGAGATGTGATGGTCAAGCTGACTGTGAGGATGACAGTGATGAGGATGGCTGTGGTAAATAAATTCAATGAGTTGGAATGGAGGGTAGCTGCAGCATTAGAAAATGAGCTTTATTTTTCATTCAGTTACTTGAAATGTAGCAGGAGAGTTCAGCCCCTTTTTTGGTATGTTTTAAAGTATTGGGGTTTTTTTTAAGACTGTATCAGTAAAAATTCTATAGCCGCAGTCCTTAATCAACATGAATACAATTTGTGATAACTGATCATTTAGATTCTGATAATCATACTCTGGGATGTTTGAGTATTCATTAAAGAACCAGGCTAAAAAATTTCTGCAGATCTAGTTCTTTTCATATTACTGAAGGCTTTACTGAGCTAAAATGTAGCTCCCTGGCAGATTAAAGATTAAATCTTGAATCTGTAAATGTAGATTTAAATTTATACATGATAATGTTCTCGTTAGGATGTATAGACAAAAGATGTCATTATGATATATTGTGTTGCTGAAGTGGATTCTGCATGGTTATTTCAGATGGGTCAACCTCAAGTTACAAGTACAAGCATAAACCCTCTAAGTTTATTCTCCAATATGTTTCTGAGTTTACTTTTACTATAGATGCTTTTGACTTTTAACGTAAGGGGATTTATTGAACCAGAAATAATCAAAGAATCTCTTGGTCACTATGTATCCTCATCCATGCTGGCAAGACAGTTTCAGAAGGAAATGGGAGTTCTAAATATTTCTTTATTGTCTAAGCTGTAGCCTTCAGGGAGATCTGCATGCAGGCCTGGCATCCCTAGGGGAAAAGACAATAATTATACATCACTAAGGATTTAGAGAAAAGGTGTGCTTATGGGCAAAGGCTTGGAAAACATTCCAGTAGAGTAGTGTTAAGTTGCACAACCTACAACCTGTGGGGTTTTTTTTAGCAGAGAATGGGTTAAGAGGGAAGCAGAGTTTTTGTGAACAAAACTGTGGAAATAAGGGAATTTCTGCTCAGAGACAAAATAAAATTCAACACCAGAAAGCTAAAGCTAGGCTGAAATTCAGTCTTGGCAGTCCTATAAAATGTTTCTTTTTAAAAAGCAGATTGTTTTAACGTTTGCAGTAGACAAAGGTTTATTTATCCCCAATGTGTGATGTATTCTCAGTCTCTGGGAGTTTCCAGATCATGCTTGTATTCTCTCTCCTCTTTCTCTCTTTCTTTCCCTTCCTCCACCCCTGTAAAAAGAAAGAAAAAAAGGATATGCTCTTTGAAATATGATTTAATGCTAGGTCATTCTCTTGTTTGGATTATAAAGGAAAGTCAGAGCAGAAGATCACAGTGACCCTTTCAGAGTTTGACTTCTCTTTACTTTGAATCAATTGTCTCAATTGTCCTCTCTGCCAAATGTTTTTTGTTGCCACCAATTTTGAACTCCTTGGAAAACTAATTGTTATATGTCTTTTAGGATAATTTTATTCTCCTAGACATTAACATATGAAACATTGTTCTAATATGTAACAGTAATTTCTCAAGTGGATCTCTCTTTTTCTGAAGTCTAGACATAATGTCACAAGCAATCAGCAGAATTCTTATCAGTTTCTATAAATACAGAAGACTGTATCAGCTAGGAAATTACTGCTGTCAGAGTCACATTACATTGACCAGGGCTAATACTGTTACTGAAGAACAAAAAGTCCTTGTAGAGCTCCAGAAGTAACTGTCTCCAAATTATTCATATTCCATGTGTGCAGGACAAAATCAAAACTTGATGATCATTCCATGTGTAAAGGGATAGCTCAAATTTTATTAGCTTTATCCTTTTAAATTGGTTTTCTAACATTAAAAAGCACTGAATGTTTAATTTGAAACCCTTGCATTTGAAATGCTTTAAGTGATAGACATGGAACAGCTCTACAGTGAAGGGAGTGGGAGGCTGAAAACGACTAGCTACAGCTTTCTTATGCTTAGACTATGGCCAGAAAATATAATATATATAAAAATATAAGTGTAATATAAAGTCCAAAGGGACTGAGGTTTACTCTCCTCATGCAGAGTAGAGCTGTATTCAGCACCCATTGTCTCCTCCTGCTAGCAATCCCTGCCATGCTTTCACATGGTCTTTGTGAGAGGACATCTCAGCCATGCAATTGCAGTGAAATCCTGAGACTTTAGGGCCATTTACACTGGGATTTGGGGAGAAAATTTGACTGATATTACTGGAAGTGAGATTCTGAGTGCAGTGAAGTGTAGGGAGGGTAATTTCCAAAATATATTACGAAAGATGTCACGAAAGTTTGTGGTATTAAATGTAGTTGGTTGTAATTGAATGCATTAAATTGCTGTCTGCTGAACAGTGCCTCTGGCAGGGAACAGAAGACAGTCCTACACCTACTAAAGACATTGAGATCATAACATTCATAACCATTACTGTCTTTCACTGCTTTCTGCAATCTGGGTTTTGACTTGTAGTATTGTAGGAGAGAGAAAAATGTGGTGGTCTTGATGTTAATGATTCAATGGTAATTGCATGGGAAACGTATATATGGATAACAATTGGCAACTTCATATTATGAAGAAGAATGAAGCTAAGATCGTATATGAAACCATATATCTTGTCAAAATGCATTTTTGAGATAGGGGTAATCTACATGTAGACAAGTTTTCCTACCTCTGTTTTCCCTGTCATTGAAAATGCATGTCACAAAAATAATTAGAGATAAAATATAAATACTCCAAATGGTAGATGATCTTTACCAGCAAAAAAAGTGTATTTGAGCACTGAATTCAGTAAGCAGTGAATTTTTCATAAGGAATTGTCTCTATATTTGTCTATGTGATTAGTTTTGTAGAGTCCTGGTATACTTCACAGTGTAACACTGTAATGTGTGATGAAGAGGAAAGGCAAACATGCATTTAATGAATGGTAAACACTCTGCTAAAAAAAATTGCAAGGTTCATAAATTACGGGGGTTTAAGCTTTTTTAATTTTATATTCATATCAAGATTCTAACGTGGCATTCCTTTTTTTATGTAAGAGTAGAGATTTTGTTTGATTTCAATTAATTTTTCATTAATAGTTATCACGAATATTGAAAAGAAGGAGACCTGGAAAGTGGTGGTAGCCAAGAAAGTTATTTAATCATGAGGAAGCAGTTTCAAAGGTTAAGGCTATTTGTTTCTCAGGGCTTTAACATTTACTTACGTGTTTTTTCAAATCTAAACAAAATCAAGCTCCCCATACACCCAGTTACACTTAAAACCTGAATAGATTTTTCCAATGATCCAGTAAGGATTCTCTGGTTCACATGTGTAAAATATGTACTTCTGAATTAAAACTTCTTGGAAACAATGTATTTGCTTAGTAACTTATTGCTGATACGCTTTCACAGTTCCAGGTCTAGGCAAAGACAGGTGCTGCTTTAAATACTGTTTTTAAATTTATACCTGAACTATTTGCATGAACATCAATTGAATCAATTGAATTTTCCCTTAGATTAAAATGAAAAGTATCATCTATAGAACAGGCCAAACAAGGCAATCAAATAATCTGGTTTAGTCAGGACAATACATCATTTTTATGGTTTCCTATGAAACCTGAGTGTGAGACATGCAGGACATTAGTATGCCAAATTATTTAAACTGGTATCACAATAAAATACTTTATTAGTTGATGGAAATAAAAAGTGGAAGAAAACAAGAGAAAACTATTTTCTAAAATGTAGCTTGGGCTATACTTAATTTCCTCTAGCTGACCAACAGGAGTTTTACTGTCAAAACACTGACATAATTTTGTATTACTTCTCTTTCTACCTTTCATTGTGATTCTGTGTTTGAGTCTGCATCAGCACTGCTTAAAAAAAAAAGTATGTATTTCTACAGTGTTTCATGGAGATTCCATGCTTTTATAGGATTTGCCTTTGAAAGACCAAGGAATTTCTATAGACTTCAGGATTAGAAAAGTTCTTATATTACTATTAAATGTATTTCAAGAATAGTGTGTGGGTTTTGAGCTAATTGAGCTAATGCCTAAACCATTATAGGAATGTATAATATATAATCATAATACAATTATTATTTAAAAAACACTGAAGTATTATGAAGTGTTGTAATATTTAAATTCATTTATTAGGTGTGCAATGTGCCAATCTTATTTCCATTTTTTCATTAGTAACTATTCTTGGTACCTTCTAAAATTTATATTACAAGTGAAAATATTTTGTGTGTTTCAGGACTTTTAAGGAATAAAACAGTTGATTCAATATTGCATGCAAGTATTTCAGAACTGTGCTTCTCTGCCTCCAGGTTGTAGAGAAAGGGGTCTTTGGGAGTGTCCTTTGAAGAAACTGTGCATCAAACACACTATGATCTGTGATGGTTTCCCAGACTGCCCTGACATGATGGATGAAAAGAATTGCTGTAAGGACTCATGCAGTTTGTTATTCCCTTAAAAGGCTGATCACACTTTTGGGATGTTGGGTGAAAAAAAAAAAAAGTAAAAATGTTTTATACTTTCTATAGGCAGAAAGACTTAGTCATTCCCTCAGTTCCCTTTTCAGTTTGTCTGTGGCACAAATTTCTCCTTTTCCTCCTTTTGTGTCCTTTGTCACTCACATCCTTGGATCCTTGCTGTTTGTTTGGTCACTCTCATCCTCTCATCCTCTTTTTTTTCTTTCTATTCTCTTTCTCCCTCCTTGTTCTTGCACCTTTGTACTTCTGTGCCTTGTAGACTTTTGACTTCTTTTCCCAGGTTTCCTCAACTCCATTCCATACAGGCATAGCTCACAGATGCTCACTGCTCATTTTTTCCTTGATTTCTACTTGATTTTACTTCTGATCTGTTTTTTGGTAAATGTCACATATCCCTCTTCCTTATTTATTCTCTTTCCTGATTGTCATTTCTTAGATTCTGTCTCCCTACTTGGCTGCACAGATTTCTGCAACAATCCAAACTGTGATAACAATCAAGATACAAAACTTACTGTGGTCCACTGGTGGCATGGGCACACTGTCCACGTGTACAGTATAAGTCTGTTCAGAGTTCTGGCAGTGTGCAGCGGGCCCTCTGGTCCCCTGCAAGGACTGCCCTCAGTTCTGTTTCCACTGTTTCCATCTGAGAATGGGATGGGAAGTGGTGATACATCTGCAAACACCAGCTGCTTCGCAGGCTCCCACCCTGCACACTAAACTGGGAGTGAGTGCCCTGAGATGGCAGCTCCACTCAGTTCCATTGACATATTAGTGGTACTCTGAATTCTCTTCCCTTTGGAAAACCTTTGTGTGTGGGCATGTTCCCAAGACAAGGAAGTAGAAAAGACATACTGGGAGAAAGTCTGCACAAGAAAGGAGGGATCATTAGTAAAGTTAGTTGAGAACTGAAATTTTCCTTCTCTGAAGGAAAACTTAGTATTTTGTCATTTTTGATGGAATGTTTGGATATAATTTTGTGATTTAAAAGAAGTTGCTCCTGAGTCTCTGGAGTTCTGTTGGTAGGAGCAGAATGGTAGGCACATTTTATGTGCTAAGTGAAACCTATGAATATGTTTACCAAAATGAACAGCAGCCTGCATTTATCGCTAGATCAAATTTTGTTTCTTTTTAGGAAGCTGAAGCTCACAAAACATTTCTTAATCTGCTTTTCATTGCAAAGATTATACCATTTAACTTCCAAGCTCTGTGCTGTAATCTAAAGAGTGGAAGTGATATTAAAGTAATTTACTCATGATCACACATTAAGATCATGACAGAGAAAAAATTACCAAAGGGCTAAGGTTTTTTATAATTACCAGAGTACATTTCCTCTCTGCTTTTGAGTTGGGGCTCAAATATTCTAAAAAGGCAGCAAAGTTTTCCCAACTGAGAGATTCCAGTTTTTGAATTATGCTCTCTCTAGAAGGTGGAGTTAAAGTGCTTTTTCTGTTTTTGCATGCTTTATTCCAGAGCCAGAAAGATCAGGGGTAGACAGTGTTACCTGCTCTATCTGTATGGTTCTCACTGTGGAGTGCACTTTTTGTACTACTGTTGCAAATAAATGCTTGGATTGTATGGCACTATAAATGCTTTACGTCAGCCAAACATGGGCACAACTGGTTGCAGCTCCCTCCCATGCATTTGCTCCCTCTCTGCCCTGCCCCAGGTTTCAGAATTCCCTAACTGTGGGGTTTATAGAAGCTGGAAGTGTGTTAGGGAGGAAGATACTGTACTTCTACACACCTCCCTTTTGGAAGGGAGGTTGTTGGGGGAAAACTGAAAGTCATTTGCAAATGGAAGCTCTTGTGGTTCCCATACTGAACAGACTCTGGAAATCCATATGTAAGGATACCAGCTGTGAACAGGAACTTGTGTATCAGTACAGCAGTTCTCTACCTTCAAAGTGGTTAAAAAATAAATAAAAATAAATATATAATTGTCAAAAGCAAAGGTGAATTCAGAAATGAATATATAATTGCTGTGGATGAGAGGAAATAGATATTCATTGTGATAAAATAATTTTTTCAAAAATCATGATGAATTAAACAGATTTGGATCAGTTGGCTAAAAAGCATGGAACAGAATTTTCTCTCATGGCTTATGAGGGGCTTAGACAGGTTTCATATAACAAGACCACAAATGATACTGAGTAATCACAGATCTTGCATTTCTAGACACTCTTCCTTCCCTCTGAATTGCAATGTCCTCTGTCACTGCATGGCAGCAACCACCTTCTGCATTAGTGGTATCCATGCTGAATTTTGTTGCAAATCTGTCTCGCTTACCTTTTCCATAAATCTGATCTCTACCTACCTTCACCCTCCTTCTCAATTTTTTGTCTCCATGTGAATTTCACTTAGATATGTCTTTCTCATGAGGAAGCATGTTTTTGTCTTTGCAGCATTTTGTGAAGAGAGTGAGCTTGAATGTGCCAACCATGAATGTGTGCCACGTGAACTCTGGTGTGATGGGCAGGCAGACTGTAGTGACAGTTCAGATGAATGGGACTGTGGTAAGTTTCTGCCTCAAAGTGGTGTTTGGGTGATGGTAGTAATCACTTTTGATTTAATTCAGAATACAGTGCTGGACAGGTGCTCCCTCTATTAGCAGAGAGAAGACTAGGGTGAGGTTAGGAAAGCATGCAAGGAAGTGAGCAAAAGAAAAAGCAAAAGCTCAATGTGCAGTGTCACAGTGCAAAGATGTACGAAAAGTGATATAGCAAGAAAATGTGTAGATGATGTGTGTAATCTGGAAAGTATTGTGGATAGTGGAGAGATTAAGAAGACATTGAGATTTGGAAGGACCTTTTGAGAATCTTTTTTGCATGTGATAAAAGCGGTTCCTGAACTTTTATATACAGATAATGACAGAAGAAATGGTGATGGTCTTTCTATCTAGATTATCTAACTAGAGTTAGGCTATAACAATTAAGGCCATCAGCAACCCATGTAAATCTGTGCTGGTGAATTAGAAGTATTCCAGTTTATTCTTACCCTCTTGATGCCTTTGCTGTTCAGTGTCTCATGCACTCTTAGCAAGGTTCTGATAACCACATTTGCATTGGTTTTAGATTGCATAGCTATTCAGCATGTAAAGCTAGGAAAAGTGCCAGCAACTTGGAAGAATCTTGATTTAGTTGTATGTTTTCAGTTTCTATCTGTAAAACTATTTGAAATAATACTGAAGTTTTCTTCCTTTTTCCTTTCCAGTTACACTGTCTAAAAACACAAATTCCTTGATGCTCCTGACTGTTCACAGATCAGCTGCTGCTAACCATGTCTGTGCTGATGAGTGGCAAGAAAACTTAAGCCAACTGGCCTGCAATCAGATGGGTTTAGGGTAAGGTCAGTAGTTTGTAGCTTTGATGAATTTCTTAGGACAACTGGAGTGCTGGAGTTAGATGTGAGCTATCATTGATCACTGCAATGTTAGACTGCTGTGGAAATGGTTCACAGAGAAAAGAGGTAATGAAATTTTGTATTTCATTTCAGTGTTTTGGGTTTGGGTTTTTTTGCTTATATATTGAAACTAAAACAGTGTAGATTTAGACTAGACATAAGGAATAGTTTTTTCACAATGAGGATGTGAAACACTGGAACAGGTTACCCAGAGAAACGGTAGACAGACACCCCATTCCTGGAAATACTCAAAGCCAGGTTTGATGGGACTCCGAGCAACCTATTCTAAAATTTAATGATGTGACTTGAGACATTGAGAGGGGAAAGGACTGCAAGAAACACAGCATCTTTTATCAGAAAAGCTTTCAGGCAAATAGGTCTTCCTTCAGTTTTGCTCTTTCTGCTATGTAATTCAGGAAAGTCTTATTTGACCTCCACACCCTCCCCTCAACTCTTGCCAAGCATCCTAATGAAAGACATCCTCTCATATAAACTCTGTGTAGTTAAACAGACAGGCGCCCTTTCAAAGGGAATCTTAGCTCATGAAATGATGTCAGTGTTAGCTTTAGATATAAAAAGTAAGCTCAATGAGAAAAATGTCTATGAGACTATGACTCTCAAATTCTGTTAGAGATGAGAGAAGAAATTAGTAATAGGAGAATAAATATGTTACATACATACAAAAAACAAGCATAAATTACACTATGGGAAAATTTCTCAGTGAATAATAATTCTGTAAATGATGATGTTGAACAAAGAAACAACTGATTTTGTTCAAATTCAGTGAATAGTTTCATTACAGGGGGAAAAAAGGTTGAAAAATCAAGTTATTTCAAAATTTTGAAATTAAACCACTAAAATTTTGTTTCAAAACAACATTTTTCTCTGAAATACATCCTTCGTATTTTTCAAATGAAAAGTTAATTGACTTTAAATGAAGGACTTTACATTTAATTTGAAGTTGAATTAATACTTCCAGCTAAGAAAATCTAGATTTTATTTGAAGCTTTAACTTTAGATGTTCCCATCTTTTTTTAACTTTAGCTCCAAAATGATACTTTATGAAATCTATAATTTTCAGACTCAGAGAACAGAGTGTTGTGGTTTAATGCCAGCCAGCAGCTGAGCCCTGCACAGCTGCTTGCTCACTCCTCCTGCTGGGAGCGGGAAGACAATCCAGAAGAGTAGAAGTAGGAAAGCTCATGGGTTGGGATAAAGAGAGTTTAACAGGTAAAGCAAAAGCCATGCACACAAGCACAGCAAAACAAGAAATTTATTCAGCACTTCTATGGGTAGGCAACTATTAAGCCATCTCCAGGAAAATGGGGTCCTTCACCTGTGATGATGACTTGGAAAGACAAAAGCCATCACTCCAAACTTCTCTCCAGGTTCCTTCTCCTTCCTCCCCCTTGGCATACAGAATGTGAAGCTGTGTAATGTGAAATGTCCCTTTGGAGAGGTGGGGTCAGCTCTCCTGGCTGTGGCCTCTACTGAGTCTTTGTCACCCCCAGCGCCATCGCTGCTGGAGTGGGGTGAGAAGCAGAAAAGGCTTTGACTCTGACAAGCCCTGCTCAGCAAGAATGAAATCAGCCCTCTTATCAACACTGATTTCAGAACAAATCTGAAACACAACCCCATACTAGCTGTGAAGAAAATTAACTCTATCCCAGCCAAAACCAGCACACATAAAGCAAGCAAGTAAATTTTTTTTTTCAGTGTAATTATGAGTTAACTCACTCTTCATAGGTTTGACTAGTTTATCATCTAGGAGATAGGACAGAAATTTTGAAACCTGAAAATATCACAGTGATTACCAACTTTCTATCGAAAAAATGAAGAATAATTTAATCATACGTGATTATTTTTTCTATCATGCAGTGAATACCTTATAATTTCTATTTTCTATGTTTCAATATGTTTTCACTTTAAAATTTCAGATATCACTAATTTTAATGCTGCTAAAATCAAGGTTTTGATCTGTTACTTCATATTCTATGGCACAACTGTGGCTTTAGAGAATTCTGCTATTAAAATTATAGAATTTAGAATTATAGAATTTTAGAATTAAAATAATTTAGATATGCTATAATTTTTTCCATTTGTCAGTCAAGGTTTAATAAAATAGTTTACTGAGTCTATCAAGCAATAACTATACTGAGGAAGTGGATATATGAACATATCTCTTGGTGAACCATTCTAACACTCAAATACTTGTTAGGTTGCTGCAGAAGAATATATTTGACATTATCAACAGTGATTTGTTCTGTTTTGCAAAGCAGACAGCTTGGACTTAGAGATACTCTCAAGTTTTATTAACAAGACCTAGACCACTCTTTACTGTTAAATTTTAATGGATTTCCAATGACAGGAGTGTAAGAAAATATTTTTTTCTATTGCCTCTTTTTTACATATGAAGAATTTTTTTTTTTTTTTTTGCATTTTGGGAGGCCAAGAAACTGTTGAAACAGTATCAATATGTGCCTTACAATAAATGCCACGAGAAGGTTCTTGCTGTTCCTGACTCCAATTCTGCATCTTGTTGGGAAATACAATGTGGCAGTCATATGTAGGCTGGCCTGGCTTCTTGGGGTGATTTCATTCTCCTAATTGTGTATCTGCCACTCAGTGCTTTGCCATATCATTCAGACTTTTATCATTAGAATAAACAGATATGTTAGGGCCTCGTCACCGTTATAACTGTAACACAGAAACCTATCAGAAGTTCTATCAATGTCTTTCATTTGTTTCAGAGGACCATCCAAAACAGAAATTGTAATAGACAACGACCAAATGCAGGACCAAAAATGGCTGAATCTGCACTCAGACTGGAAGAATAAAAATGCATCCACTTTACATGCACTTCTAGTGAATGGGTAAGTAGCAGGTGAAAAAAGAACAATTTCACTGCTGTGGGTGGTCACTTATCACTGCAGGATGACAAACTCTTTGGTAAGCTCTTTTTATCCATGTTGTCTGTGTATAAATCCCAGCACATACTCATGTAAGTTGTTAAGATACAGTCTACAATTATTTTAGTGTCTACAGCCACTGCAGTCTCTTTTGAGACTATTTTGTGAATCCTCAGGAGCCCTTTCTGGTAGAATAAGAGCATTTGAGTGATACAGAGGTATCCCTCCATCACTCTCCAGGTGCCCTTGAAGCACCTGGATCAAACACCTTTGTTAAATCTCTGCTGAGCAAGAAAGTCCAACAAGTAGTATGTAGCAAAATCTGCAGTGACATCTTACATCCTCTGCAGCCTGTGTAGTCTGGATTCATTAATTTGGAGCAACCACAGCTTCTTCAGTTTAGTTCAGTAGGTTTCCTTAGCTCTGGCTTCAGATGATTCCTTTTAATTAACCCAAGTAAAGAGGCAGTTACTAATGAGAAGGCAGGATCTCATGGTTGAGACATTCAAAGTGTGACTTTGAAGAGCCAGTGAACTAGAAACCCAGGGCAAAACTGGGAGAGCCACCTATTCCCCATTGGCAACTGCATTCTTCAAAAAGCAGATTCATGGTTTCCCTATTCTCTTTGAAATGCCCAGGAGCTTTCAGAATATCCTTCTTCCATAGAAAATCCTTCTGTTTCACAAGAAAAGGTTGTCTTGAGTAACTGCAGAGATAGAATATGTATGAAGACAAAAATATAAGGAAGAAATCCACTTTTCTTTTGCTTGGCTCCATTATTTTATATAAAGTTTCACCTAGTGGCAGAATACTAAAAAGATTGTGCCTGCAAGGACCTAAGTTTGCTTTCTTACATCTCAATTTTGTACCTGTTTTGTTTTACATTAGTATTTTCCCCATCCTTTAAGTTAATTTATAGTTCCTCATCTAGAAGGGCCATTACTGAACAGTGCCTGATACTTGAAAGTTGTCTTTTTAACTCTTTGATTTTCCTTTTTCACTGTCTTTTTCCTCTAGCCTAACAGTATCTAAATGCTTTTCTCCAGAGTAATACAAGAATAAACACCTTGGGTTGTGACCAGATGCAAAGGTACAATCATATTCTGTTCAGTCACTAAAGTGCAAAGCAGAAATTTCAAGGTACTTTTTGACATTTTTGAAAGATGTCTGCTAGGAAACTTATGAAGTAATGGATCTGGAGCCTCTGAGTTACAAATTCTAGTCTTAAAAATTTTAGTTTTGCCCAAAGTGCAAGTTAAAGGAGGGAAAGCATCAGTAATGAGGTTTATTGTTAAACATAATTGCATAAATGAAAGTTACATGTATGAAACAGATGTTTCAGTCCCCATGAATTCAGAAGATGGGTTAACAAGAAGTGAGAAGCTAAGGGGGAAGGGTGCATGAAGGGTGAGGCTGAATACACCTGAGCCCTGCAATCTAGGTGTATTCATCTGGATCAGCTGCAGCATGGAAAAGGTTTGTGCTGTGGAGTATGTTGTATTTTTAATGGAGTTGCCAGGCTTCTGGATTAATGGGAGCTTGGCCAAGAACTAACAAATACACCACTAAATCATTAAGTTTTGATAGGAGGGAATGCCACAGTGCAGGCAATGCACACATAAAAGCTTAAAGTTTTCTCTTTAGAGCTGGCTGTATGGTAAGTCAAAGAAACAAGTGTAAAACATGAGCATGGCTGGTCTCAGTTATATTCCATATATTTTCTTCCCCTGTCAAAATTGTGCACAAAATTTGATTTCCTGAAACTGGTTGCCTATCTCTACTATCTCTAGAAAAATAATTTTATGACCTGGGTTTTCAGGAAGAGAAAAAGATTGAATTTCATGGTTTATGAATGATGTATATGCAATGTAAGGGACAAAGATTTGGTTAAATTCCAGATTCAAGGTAATCTGATGGGCTGGCTGACACTGATGTTTTGCCCACATTAGTATCTATGACATGTAATGCAGCCTCTTTTTAGGCGGTTGCAGTTTTAAAGACACTTCCTACCTGCTGGGATTAAAGTCTGCAAAGAATTACCTGGCAAAGAAATCACCTGTGTATCCAGTCCAGTGTAGCTCTGCACCTGCCTCAGAAAAGCATGTACACAGTAGGAATAAAAAAATTGTGGAAGTAAAAAGGTAGTCAACTAGCTGTGCAACAGTGCCTGCTGATTTAACTGTGATTTCTCCTCCCTTGACAAAAAAAAAAAAATAATTAAAAAATCAATTCTTCCCTCTCTTATCTGAAGATTTTCAACAGAAAGTTTTTGTTGTTCTAATAGTTACTTATGCAGAATTTGTGGATTCTTTTAAAATAGCTAAACTCTTAGGGCATGAAAGATCATCTGTTATCAAAGGCATTTCAAAGAAAATCCTGTCCTTTGACTGTAAGGAGAAGGAGACTGGCAATCTGCTTTCAGGTGCTGTAAATAAGAACTTGACAGACTGTGCATCCCAGCTGACCTCAGAGCTGGATCCATGCCCAGGAACAAGGTAGTCTGCAAAATATGTAACACCTACTCATGATAATTATTGTAAAGCTGAACTAATATTTTGAATTATCTTCAGGCAGATGCTGGAAGCCATGGATGATCTGGCATAGGAAGCTCCTTGAGTTTCTTTTTGCAGTTTGAGGGAATTTTTAACAGCTGGATTACAACAATGAATACAATACCTGTGCTGATTTTCAAATTACCAAAATTAATCAATTAATGACATTTCCACCATGTTTTGTTTCAATATTTAGGCAGACGTGCCAAAGCAGAAGCAAAGTTGCTCTCTTTTGCACTAAAGAAGGTAAGAGAGAAGTGCTTATAAAATAGATATTTTTCAAAATGTATTAAATCACTTTAAAAAATGCAGATGTTTAGTGTGGATTCATTCTAAAATTTTTACTAGACTTCTGCAACATCCAATTTTGCAGTGGGTTTATTTTTCCCTACTCAGTTTCACCAGCTTTTCTTACATTTTGACTAGGATGCTGTGTGTTAAGGTAGCCCATTCCTGATACCACAAAGGGAATTTTGTCAGCAGTTAGGTTCCAAAAAGTAATTTGATAAGACTTCCTGCTGAAAATATCCTTAACCAGCAGAGTGGTTAGCAGATTATCTGCCTGGGAGCTGAAGCTGTGATCTGTTTGTTAAGTTCAAGGGGACAGAAGAACCTGAATTAGAAAGTTAGGGACCAAGTTTGTTGGCACAGCAGGTTGTGCAATTTTAAGTGGTTTGAAAATGCAGAAATTCTTCTTCAGTGATGAAACCATGTCTGGCAGACAAGGAGAGCTTTCCTGAAAAACACTTGAACTATGAAGTAGCTTGAGTCAGGGAAAAGGAATTACAAGACAGGAGCTAAATGTGGGAAACTAATCAAAACATTTGCTACTCTTCAAAGAAAGGAGAAAGCTCAAAAGAGCTTTCAAAAAGCTTATTGAAGGTATTTTGTTCTGACATATGTTGCTTACTCTATGAAGTTAAATGGACACAGTAAGAATTCCAAGGTACAAATAACCATTGCTCCAGTTTATTTCTTCACTAAATTCCCAGATACGTGCAATGGCAGCATATCCTCCCTTGGGACTAGTTGTAGAAACCGATGGTGTTCTTTAGTTCTCTAAGTTAGACTGAGTATAAACAGGATAAATAACAAGCCTGCCATCTTTCAAATTTAGAAAATAAAGTGAAACAAAACTGAAGGATTATTTTAGAGTAGTAACTGGCAGGTGGTAATCTGGTGCAATTTCTAGTGGAAATAGCTTGTAAAATACAATGGATAAAGTACTAGAATGTCTTCAGATCTTTAAATATTCTCCCTTAGTAATTTCTGCGGGCAAAGTAAGTTTTCTGCTGTGTAGCTGAGTAAACAGCATGACATTAACCTCACACCTGACTTAAGAAAAATCTTATTATTGCTGAGCAGATCTTCCAGAGGCAATTCTTCTGGATAATACAAAGTAGGCCTAACGTTGATAGCTAGAAGGAAAAAGACATGGGGAAACCTCCTGAGTAAAAGGAAGTCAAGATTCCAAACACGGCTGAGTTAATGCTTCAGGCTGATCCAAGCAGAATTAATAACCGGAGAGCAAATCCTTTGATCCAAAGGAGTGCAAAAAGCAGTGTTTGGTAGCGATTGCCCCATTTGCGGCGGCGTTTAGCGTACCTCCCCGAGTGCTAACCCCACGCTGTGCCCAGCTGTCCCGCCCGAGGTGCGCTTTGCGCTGCCGACTGACGCGCTGCTCTTCCCGCAGACTGCGGCCGCCGCCCCGCTGCCCGCATGAGCAAGAGGATCCTCGGCGGCAGGACCAGCCGGCCGGGCCGCTGGCCCTGGCAGTGCTCCCTGCAGAGCGAGCCCAGCGGACACATCTGCGGCTGCGTTCTCATCGCCAAGAGATGGGTCCTGACAGTAGCGCACTGCTTTGAAGGGTGAGAGGGCTCACGCATTTTATTGTTCATATGAGCTTGCAGGTGTGAATGACCAAGTCCTTCCCCCTTTACCAAACGCACGGGGCGTAGGTGAAGGCCTTTGCAGAATGGCCGATCACAGAGTTTTAGGTTTTAGGAGACTAAAAAAGAAAGTGAAAAGGTACAAACCGGCATCAGGTTAGGTTTCCCCGTGTTTCATTATTCATTGCGGGCATTCAGCTGAAGAAAGCTATATTAAGGTGCCCTGACTTTCAGCAGGAAACAGGAAAAAAAAAAAAAAAAGAAGACCAAAGCACTAATTCTATAGCTGTCATACAATTGCCACAGGTTTAAAAATCATCCTCTATATGTGGATATATAATATACCAGCATAGAAAAGACCCTGAGAAGATGCCGTGGCTACTGGTAAAAAGAAAAACTGAGTATTCACTCACAGTGCAAATGACATACTGAACTCTTTAATTTGAAGCCTTTTCTTTTTATACAGTCCACCTTTTTATTAAGACTGCAATCATGAACAAGTCAGTATTAACAACTAAGTGCCTCCTGGTATCGGAGGCAGTGGTGCAGGGACAGTCTGGGGTGCAGAGTATGTTTACATGTCTTAGCAATTGTTTTGATCACTGCTAGCTTTTTGGTGCAAACTGATATTTCTTTTTGAGGAAACACAGATTTCATAGGGAGGTTTATTATCTCATTTCTTTTGTCTTGTACCAAAGTTTTAAAATTGTGTTTCTAAAGAAAATTTAAACAAGCGTTTTCTGCTATAGTTAGCAGGTACTTCTCTGACATACAGTTGCTTAATCCTGCTTTAAACTGGTGTTTGCTCACTGGATATTATTTTAAACTGGACTAAACTTTGTGTTTAAGCCAGCAGAAATTCTACGTTAAGCAAGATTCTCTTGAACTGATATTTCTTTATAGTGTCAGTCATTCCCTTTTTCAGTAAAAATTTACATTTTGTCTTTGTATTTTTGAAAAACTTGAGTTCTTTTGTATTTTTCCTTCTAAACTAACAGTGTAATAAACCCGTATAATACAAACAAGAATATTGTATTTTATCAGATTTTGGGTCCAGAAGGAATTTCACTTCTTTCTCCATGTATTTTTAAATATACTGCTGGAATATTTCCTATATATTGTGAAGTATATATTGGAAAAATATATATTGGTTGGAAGAACACTTTCTGTGATCTAAAATAAAGGGTGGAACAGAGGTTGATCCTTCAGCAATACTGGACTGCTATTGAGTTTCCTGGATAAGATTCATCTCATTACTGAAAGATAAGCAAAGCAGCTATCACATTATAAAGTAAAAATTCTCCCAGTTTTGTCAAATGCAGAAAAAGTGCCACTTCATTTTGGAGCTGTTGATTTACCTCTCATGTAGAGCTGCATAATATCCCTGTGAGCTCAGAGTATAACTTGATAAAGTTTCTTTCACATTTATATCCTAGAGACCTTAAAGTACTAAGATATTCTAGTCTAATAATTGATTGAGAAGTTATATGAACTTTTTTCTCTTCAGCCTTTCTGAATAGATTGGGGGGTTGTACCCAGAAGCCTGAAATCTTGAAATTCTTCATTTGTAAGAAGAACTTACTTTTGTAAGCTTAATATATCATCTGCAAGGCCATTCTTGATGTCACAGTTATTTTTTTTTGTTTATATAAAGTATTAAAAAAGATTTCCCAAACCAAAAAAAACAGATAAGATAACAATATAAAGATATTTTGAAGTGCTCTGGTCCTTTATACAAAATGCTCCATTTTGTGAAACTCATGTGGAGTTTGGAATCCAAAGCATGAGGACCATATAAAAATAACATGAATAGCCATGGATACTTGTAGAGAGCTAGATTAGAAATTAAAAAAAAAAATAGAAAGAGCTGCATTAAACATCGTGTTGTTTGTGAGTTTTCTTATTATAGTCCCCAAAGTTTTGTCAAGATAATTTGGAAATACATTACATTAAAGCATCCAAAACCTTTAAAGATTTTTTTTTTTTTTACAGGTAGGTCAATGCATTCTGGCTGACTGCTTATTTCTCTAGGCAATGCTATTTTACAATGGTCATAACCACAACAGTGTATTAATATTCTCAGCACTTAATTTCTGTAGCTTTATGGAACAGCTCATGCATTGATCATGATGCTAAAATGATCATTATATTCTGAAAAGCCAGAATTTTCATCCAAGTCTTAAGATAAACGTAGTCTTGATTTAGCAACCGAATCTTTTTACAAATTACAATTACAATCCTGTTGAGCACTATGAAAGAGCTGAAATTTTGCATGCTTTTACTCATACTGCTTTGAATAAGCTTCAGTCCTGTCAAAGGTGCTTAGTTACATGGAGTTGTCTCTCAGCAGTTGTGAAGAATTGTGACTGTTTTGGAGAACTTTTAGCACCACAGACTAATCAGAAACTATGAAGTACCCACAGCATATCCTGTGACCAGTTAAGGTCAAGAGATTACAGCCTAGAAGCCTTTCATAAAATCTAGGCTTTTCTGATGTGTCTCAACAGGCAATAGTTGAGTGTTCCCCCTGTATCATATGTATCATTGCTTTGTGGTCTTCTATGTTTACCAAGAGTCTCAAAAAAATTTAAGAATCAAAGTAACCTTTGATCTTAGGCATAGAAAGTATACTTGGCACAGAGAGAATGCTGAATAAATAAGGGACTTTTCCCATGGCTATCATAAAATATTTAATTTACACAATAGAATTGCTTCTATGAGACTACTTACAGATTTCAGAGAGACTTTACTGCTGTCAGCAGCAGACTACTGAACAACATTCTTATCCCAGAAAAATTTGTATGTGCCCACCACTGAGAATGTGAGCAGCTAATGCTGGGAAGGATCCAAGGGATGACTCTGACAGCCTTTAATACAGCAACTAATACATAGTTACATATCTTGTGATTGAGTGAGCTTTAATGTGTGTGATTACAAGCAGGAGGGAAATGGAAAACATTGACTTCGGTTGCTTGGATGTTTGCTGTAATGAATAATGCATAAATATTTGTTTTCTTCTTGTAGTATTTGTATGCTTTGCTAAGTGCAGTGTGCAAAAAGGGAGAAAAAATATCTTGCATAATTTATCTTAAAAGAAAGACCTTGAATGAAATTTCACGGGTTTTTTTTCCCTTTTTTTTTCTTTTTTACAAAGGAGAGAAAATGCAGCTGTTTGGAAAGTAGTGCTTGGGATTAGCAATCTTGATCATCCATCAAGTTTCATGCAGACCCGACTGGTGAGGACCATCATCCTCCACCCACGCTACAACAGAGCAGTTGTAGACTACGATATCAGCATCGTGGAACTAGATGAGGACATCAACGAGACAAGCTATGTGAGACCTGTCTGCCTGCCCAGCAAAGACCAGCTGGTTCAGCCAGACACCTACTGCTACATCACAGGCTGGGGACATATGGGCAACAAAAGTAAGATGAATATTTCTATGACTTTTGAAAAACATGTGAGGCTTTTGCTGAGTCAATCAAATTAGTGATACTGTTACAAACTTTTATCCATTGATACTATTACTGGATCTTAGTAAATACTAGTGTAACTACTCTTGAAGGGATCAAGGTGTGACTATAGCCTAGCTTTTTCACAGAGCAGCCTCAATTTATGCTCCTCAATACTTAGACATACTTACTTACTTAGACACTGGCTTGATTTTTAAAAATGTTGAGAATCTGGAAACTTCTATCAAGAAAGTCCCCCACATCAGTTATGATTTACTTATCTAAGTTGCATTCAGAATGGTATTGCAAAGGTATCACATCAGCAGTGCTGGGGAAACACTTGTAGCTCAGTGAAAGCTGGAGGCACTAGAAGCACTGGCATACAGACTGGAGGAACCAGGGTTAAGATTCATTTTGTACTTGTGACATGATTTATTCCATAATTACAAGTGTTGTTTTTGTATCTCTCAACAGAACATTAGTGTATTTTCTTGTTTTGGGGCTGCCACAATCGTTGACAAGAACTGTTGTGTTACGTAAATCTTTGTTCAGGCAAAAAGATTCTGCATGAATAGTATGCAAATTAGCCTGGCCCAAACAACCCTAGTGCACTAGCCATTGTGTTTCTCCTTTTGCTATTATTATAATAATTAAATTGAACCCATGAATGGTAAGCTGTTTACTAGCATCTCTACCCATCTAAAAATATCTCTATATGATGTCAGGAAAAAAACTCCAACAGAATTTTTTTGCAGCACTGGTAAATGGAAAATGTTGTTCTGTTCTCTAATGTGGTCAGTGTTGATTTTAAAGGTTTTATGCTAGGAAGCATCAAAAACCACCATGGCTGCATAGCATTTAATACTGCATACCCTAGGTTGAACAACTTTGATTAGAATTTGAGTTCAGTCAGTTGCTTAGACTAGGAAGAAGGCTTCTACTGTCTCTCAAACATATTACAGTAATTTCATTTTTAAGTTAAGTTTTACAGTAATTTTCATTTTTAATCATTTTTAAGTTCAAATTCTGATTTCCTGGTACATTCTGTAAGTCAAATTTACCCAAACATAACCAAAATGTCTGTGATTATTATGAAGTTTTACCATCACAGACACCAATAAATGGGGAGGTCCTGCCCTGGAACAATGAATCAAGCCTGTTGTCCACCTCTCTCACATTACTATTTTCCTGCCACTACTGCCCCCACCTTAGAAGTCACAAACTGCATCATGTCAAGGTGCGAATGCTCAATAAACAGCAAATGTCACAGCAGTCCCCATGTGCTTAGTCCTTCTCCAGAATGCAACACACAGTGCTCCTTACATTTAATACATATACAGAGAGCAGTATTTATAATGTATGCCAGTGGAAATGTTTGTCATACCTGATGGAGTCATAATAGGTAATTGTGAATTTGTGTATAGTAAACACTTAATTCTGTTTTTCAGTGCCCTTCAAGCTTCAGGAAGGAGAGGTTCGCATAATTTCCTTAGAACAATGCCAGTCATATTTTGACATGAAAATCATCACCAGCAGGATGCTGTGTGCTGGCTATGAATCTGGCACCGTGGACTCTTGCATGGTAGGATTCTCTGTAAGGATAAAGTGTCAGCAAAAAAACCTGCTATTCAAAATCAAATATGATGTTAATTAGGTGTAGCATACTTTACCTGTTCTAGAAATGACAACTGTCTACATACTTTAACCCAACTTTTATTATTACTATTATTGTTAATTTACTATTTATTCTTTTATTGTTACTATTATTGCTAATATTGGTGTAAAAAAACTTATCTTCACAATAATGAACTACTGCTTGAAGACTGTAGGGTTTATCTGTATTAGTTAAATTTTTTAATTGTATGAGCCTTTGGCAGGTAGTTTTTTGTACAAATGTAATGGGTAATAAATACTGGTAATGCCATGTGTGGCTACACAGTTCAGCAGAGCAGCTGATTTTTACAGCTGAGTTATTGCTAAAGGCAAACAATGTAGGAACTGTGAAACAGCTTTAACCATGAGTGCTGACCATGTAGATAATAGACTGTTTTTAACTTTCTTGTTGCAGGGTGACAGTGGAGGACCACTTGTGTGTGAGCATACTGCAGGGCGCTGGACCTTGTTTGGTTTAACATCTTGGGGCTCAGTCTGCTTTTCCAAGGTTTTGGGACCTGGAGTTTACAGTAATGTGTCACATTTTATTGAGTGGATTGAAAGACAAATATACATCCACACCTTTCTGCTAAACTAACTCCAGATGGTAAGAATTGTGCTGACAGACTAAAGAAAAAAGGAATCCGCCCTTCAACGCTGAAGGTTTTGCAGTCCAGAAACTCTGTGAAAAGCAGTTTCAAGCTCTATCTATTCATGGTGTGGAGCTATGGAATATGCAGCGTATGTTACCGGTAAATCCTCTGCTCATGAATATACTTTGTGGTGGAATTAATAATCCTTTTGACTTTTCTTTTAACTGTGTTGTGGTGCTATTCCAAACACTGCAAAAAGCTTAAAAGAAAAGAATCAACCACCTTCTGCCTTTCAGCTATTAAAACTAAGCAGTAGCACAGACTAGAAAAACTTTTTAAAATAACCTATTTTAATACTATTAAATTAGTAGCACATGCATTTTCACTCCTTCCAATGAGGAAGGAACTTTGTGCATTCATATGGCACTACAGGACATACATTCAAAAGGACAGCTCTTGACAGGGCCATACCACATGCTGGAGGGTGTGGGTTTGTACATCCATGTGGCACAGGACACATCAAAGCACATGTGCAGGTCTCCAAAGGTGTTACCATATGCTCCTGTCGTGCCTCAGCTAATGCCTTTTGTCCCTCAGACTGGTTAATTTGAATGGGCATAATCCTGTACTGTCCTGATTCCATGGCTTCTGTTCCCAGAGCCAGAACCAGTAGGTCAAAAGACTCAACCAACCAGTGGAGGCACTGGAGACCAAAGCTTTTACTGTTCAGACTCTTTGGACAGCCTCTAGCACTTAACCTTCTGAAACTTCCAGCGTCCTGATGCATTTAGCAAACCTGTGCCCCACTGGCTTTCCTCCCGGCTTTGTATAATATGTTCAGCAACTGATGCACTGACCATCTCCAGCCCTCTGAAAATGTAAGAGGGTTGGCTATACCACTGCAATGGTTTCCCCTCCTAGAGTCAGCTAGCTTGGACATCTTGTGAGAGACAGAAAATGCAGATTTAAAATGAAAAAGATGCAGAGTGGGCACTGTCTCAAATATCGGGGAACTGGTTAATTGTTATAGGTCTCTTCTTGTACCTTGCATTTAAAGTTTAATTTTGACTAGCAAGATAAAATGGGAAAAAGAAAAAAAGCAGAAAGAAAATGAGTGATAGAAGGTTTGGGATTCCAGCTTCTGTTCAAGTGAGTTTTAGAAATAGAAGAAGCAAAGTACAACAGCTTCACCAGCAAAGGCTGAAGTAGCTCAGCTCAGGTGCTTGGTAGCCAGATGCGGAGTGCTTTGTGCAGTAGTAAGACAATATGCCTTAAGTCCAAGAGAATCTGGTTGGAAAAGATTATGATAAAAAACAGGAGGATGGCACCTTTTTATGGTGGCTAGAGGGAAAGTGTGTCCTATGAACCGTTGTAGATGATGTCCTGCATAGCTATCAGCTTTTAGGAGGCCAGAACAGGACGAGTCAGGAATCTGAGGATTACAGGAAAAATTCCACTGGGGAACAATGCATTTAAAATTTGTGTTTTCAGTGCTGTGCATAGGCCCCTGTGCATGCAGGCTACGGCACATCATAATCCTCTCTGCTACCTCTGGCATGGCCCCATGACAGCATGGCAGGGCCACGTCAATAGCATGACTGCCACATGTGGAAACGTGCATTGAAAGACCTAACACATGGACATTTCAGGTACTACTAATCATGTTGCAACTCATCTACATAGACCTATTGCTTTCATGAAGGTTTATCTCTTATCTCTGTATCTTCTCCTTAAGTATCACTAACATTAGAACATTAGTCACACTAGACTGCACTGTAGACATGAATATTAATAAATACTCAATATTTATGTTACAGATTCTGAAACTATTTAAGTGATTATTGAATCACTGTTTCATGCTCAGAAAAAAACTCTTTGAGGCTTTGCTAGGTTTGATTGTTGTTTTTTTTTACTTTTAATATCTTAAGGGTATGACACTTAAATACTCTTCCCCCAGCTATAAATGAGAGAAAGCAGCTCTGCCAGTGTTTATCTAGTCCAAGTAGATTACAGCTGAAGCAGGTTATTGATGCTCTTGCCTTAAGGATATGGAGGCTGGAGCTCTCACTCCTCAGCCTCTCACTTCCAGCTTTCCTCTGGGGCTGGGATCTCTGCAGCTGTAGGGCAGAAAAGCTCAGAGTCCTGGAGCTGGTTATCAAGAGTACCCCGAGGAGGTGGTCCAGCGGTTGTTAGAGCCAGCTGGCTGGTGTCAGGTTCTGGCCAGGTCTGTTTTCCAAAGAGGTGCTGCTGCAGAATGAGTAACCCAGCCTGGCTTATCTCCACTAGATACTGTGGTTAGCAACTTTGAATTTTGTAAAGCACCAGAGCATGTAAAATCATTCATGTAGATACTAGCATTACCAAATGATAACATGTAACTACATGTGTAATGACACATGTAATTACACAAATTAATTAATTAATTTAATTAGGCATTTGGCCTACCACCAGTTTCCAAGCAGTGGAAATGAGGAAGAGTGTTTCTTAAACACAAGGTCCAGCCCCATCCTATATGACATCAGTCCGAAGAAATTCCAGGCCGAACCCCATCCCAGATGGCTTTAGGAGGGAGCACTTGGGTCTCACCCTTTGCCACAACTGTGTCTGACACAACATTCCATGTAAAGAGGAAATTTGTAATTTTATAAATGTATTTTTATACTGGTTTTTTATGTATGCACAGGAAATAGGCAAACATGTTCCTCCTTCCACTGTATCAAGCTTTTTCCTGTGTGCTGACATAATGGCTATGATCACAGTTATGCTGTTTGTCTCACAGGTGTAGTGTCACTGTAAGGTAACATTTGTTGGTTTTGCTTCTACCACAGCTGTATCTCCAAATGTAAGCAATGCCACTCAGTCAAGCCAACGTGTTTCTTTCTAGTTGTACTAATAAAAATTTACAATCGTTTTCAAAATAACTTCTCTGTTGTCTCTGAAAAATGTTCTCTGTCTCTGAAAATGTGTTTTAATCTTTAGAGAGACTAAATGATAATATGGAGGTATTAAGTTATAACTTTAGCAATAATGCCTAAAAACAGCCTTCAAGAGACAGTTTTAAATCCTTAGCTACTTTTTTTTTAGCAGCCCTATTAGAACTGCAATACTTGCGGAGATTCTGACCCTACTACCACTGTACAACTTTTAGTTTCTTCTGTGTGTATGCTTCCAATACAGAACATTACCGTGAATACTGCTGCCAGCAACTACTCTGGACTTTGAAATCTGAAAGACTAAAGCTGCAATCAAATCTGCAATCTGAAGATATTTTGTTCTATACTTTTCCTCTGGAATGCAATTAAATAACAAATCTCTTTTTACCTTGCACACAAAATTTCAACAATATGTACACATGCTGAAATCAAAATACTAAGCAGACAGAAGCTTAAAACAGTTAAAATTTACCCTTCTGCTGCAATAAGGAAGCCAGGACCATGAGGGCAAGAGTAATATAACCAGAGTAAAACAGGAACAAATAATAAACTCACACTGAAATTCAGCTATGGGAACACTGTTAAGACAGTCACATTCAGAAGTTGCCCATTAGCCTCAGCCAAGAGCCAGGGCTGGTGGGAGCAGTGGGTTCTCTGTTAACTGGTCCTCAGCCAGTCCTCAGCCTTGTGCTTCAGCCAGTGGGGCTGTGGAAAAAACAGCTCAGGCTAAACATCAGCTCAAACTGTGCTCCAGGTACAGACCAAAGCTCACTGTGCTGCCAAAATACTTAGCAAAGGCTGTGGCTGACTGCTACCTGCAAATGTTTAGTACAGGTGTGGTTGCTGTGAAAGAAAAAAAAAAATAAAACATGTACTTTCTTTTGTAAATCAAATATTGCACATCAAAATCCAGTTAAGGCTGTTCTGGAGGTAGCTACAAAGTTTGGGGCTGTTGAAGGTGGTTATTTTGCTTTGTTTTAAAATTAAAGAAGTTTAAATGCTGTGCTTCGTTTCATGACACGTGGAAGGCACCTGTGAGAAGCTCTTAAAAGGTTATTTCAAAATGGAAGTGTCAGATCATGCTGTGCCTAAGTGCAGGAGTGCAGAAGCAAGCAGGTGATTGCGATGTTTTCAGTGCTAAGAAACAAAATAAAGGGAACATTAAACAGTTGAGAAGCACAGGGAGTGCAATTTGTTACCACCCTTCATTTGGCACTACTTTAGTTATGGCCAATTAACTTTTTGAAGCTTTTATTAAAGACTCACTACCCTCATCTCCCCTTCAGTAGAAGACAGCAAGCACTCACAGCAAATGCCCTCAGGTATTTCTGCTGTTTGTCCACCACAAAAAATAAACAAATCCAACCCCAAAACCACAATACCAAAAAAACTAACAGTCAAATAAAAAACCAAAACAACCAAACCCCAAAGCAAGCTTCACCCAACAGATAATTTAGATTATCACCCAGACTACTTGTTGAAATCCTCTAATAAAACACAACATATGTAGAGGACAATTTTAAGCAATAGGTAGTACCAAAATGCAATACACACATACACACACACGTGTTATTTTGCACCACTTCAAGTAGCACAAAAGCACTTACAATCTCAGCAGAGAGGAACAGCATCCTGAAAGCCTCACCACACTGATTTGTGAGTAATGGAGTGATGAGGCTTGTAAAGAATCACATAATAGCAATTTAAATGTCCCAGAGGCATCATGCAGCTGATCTTGGGTCTAACAGATGACTCTCACCCATGCTTCCTCACGCAGTTATTTTGATGCCATGGCTTAGTCAGAAGGTTTTGGAAGATCTTATTCTGAATACTTACGGCTTTTGTATGAAAAAAAATGCAAACTAAATGATCATCTACCTGTCAAATCTGCTTGTAGGTTCTGCTTCTGAAGCAGAGGCAAAAAGAGGGCAGGTCAGAGGCTGGTGTTGTCCCCAAACTCTTTTTCACAGTAACAGGCAGGGACACAGCTGAGGCCTACACTCCCTCAGGTCACTGGAAGTGCTGGAGCTCCTCCATGGAAGTTCAGCATAACTCAGGCATAGAGTTAGAGACTTGTAGAACGTGGACCAATCTCCTCTCAGTGGCCACTAGTACAGAGAGGCCGTGGATTTAAAGTGTAGAAAAAACATTCAGGTCAGGTAATGTAAACAAAAACAATATTTGACTTTGAGGGCCGGAAAATACTGCCTATTTCTCTGGAGCTCTTTACAGCAGGATAACATCCACTAGGGAAGGACAAGGGTAGAGCTCAGCCTGCCTTGAGTCTGTGGAGCAATATAGATGATTTCACTCCATCCCAGTAACTCTGTTTCTATATGACTCTGCCTTGGTACCATCTTGTCCCCCTGCACAACCTGCTGACTGTTTTGCAACCTTGCAGTGCCCATTTCTCGTCTAGAAAGCTGAGATGTTTCACTTGGGAAATCTGGAGTATGCTCATGGCAAGGTGCCTCCACACAGCAAGAATGATGTTCGAGACAAACATCTGAAAAAGTAACTCAGATCAACATGATCTCTTGGAATTTGAATGTGTGCCATCACTTCAAAGATCTCCACTAACTTTATGTTAGAACTTACCAAAAACATTTTGTCATTTTAAAAAAAAGGAATTCAGAAATGGCAGTGATCACTTTCTCCTTCTACTACTTTTCTTCTAAAGACTAAACAAAAAGTATATTTTCTCTTTTTCTCATCACCAACACTACAGTTAGAGTCAGCCCTAATTACATTCTACCTTTTGAACACAGAGCTGTTTTAAACATTTGGTAACATGTGGTGACCAGCATTTGAATGAACTCAGGATGCCCTCAATATCTACCCTGTGTAGGAGCAGCTGTCCAGACCTCACAGCGTTTGTTTAAATTCTTTTAGAGATCTTAAAAGATGAGGAATATGTAATGTTGATCATTGACGTGGAAAGCTCATGGTTCAATTAAAAAGCACAGCCCTTGCCTGAAACATGGTGCCTAAAAACACACAAATCTTGGCAATTTGAGAGCAAAACCTTTTAGAAAGTAACAAAACCAAAAAATGGGCTCAGCACTAATAATTCATTAGCAGCTACAGTTTGAGGAAACTGTTTATTTCAACAGGTGCTAGTGAACACAAACAGATTTCCTAAATTCTTCTGGGAAGTAAAAAGGAGGCAATATTTTAGAGAGTCTGGAATCTAGAAGCTTCCACATGCACCTCAGCCACTTTTTGTGCAGCGTGTGAGGAGTGGGAAACTGGCAATGGACAGGACTCATCTATCTTGGAGACAGATGAGCAACAGCCCTCAAATGTGAGACATGCTATGCATTATTCCTTCTTCTGAGCAGCCTTTAGAGACACTTAAGCTGACTATCATAAAAGCCTGGAGGAATGTAAAAACACCTGAGAGTGAAGAAGAGTGATGTTATCAGCTAGAAGCTGCTATTTGTAAGGGAAGACCTGAAGACAGACTGGAGCTCCTCACTGCTGCTGGCAGACAATTTTTCAGTACAGGCATGAGGTAGTTTAGAGAAAAGACAGCCAGCCAACATCTGAATTGAGTGAGGTGGGAAAGAAGTCCATTTGGTGGCAGAGAACATGAAATGGCACATGGAGTCAAAATGGAGTGACACAGCAGGAGGATGAACTGTCATGGAAAACAAAAGGCTGCACTTAGGATTTGCTCTTTATGTGAGGAGGAAGGCGAGGGAGACACATTACATGTGTCTCATTTGGGCTTCTCTCTTATGGTTAAAATGGTGTTTGTCCATCAATGAGATAGCCCATGCAATAGCCTGATGAACAAACTGGACCACAGTGGTTACATAAATTACTGTCTACACACACTACAACAAGTAATAAAAATTCTTGAAAGAAGCCAGCCAGTAACACCACATCCCAACCATGCTGCTTACTTCATACTTCAGCATGTGGTGAATCCCAGGCCATGCTAGGGTTCTAGGGCAGCAGTGTAAGGGAGCAGGCTGACTTAGCTGAACTGGATTCTGCAAATCCACATTCATGCTATGTGTCCATAACACCACGAGATGTTACGCAATGTTGAATAGAAGAAATAAGCAGTATGCAAAGTCTACTGTGTGAAGAAATATAAAAAGTAATACACACATTCAGACCTTGAACATCTTAATAAATTATGAATAAGTCTTATAAACAAAAAGTCTTTTAAGGAAATGTGTTCATCATCTACCTAGGCTGAAGAAAACAAAACCACAGCATGGCAAAAATCAGCAGTTATTACTTCTGTGTTTAACCAGCTAGCATTCCAACTTTGTAAAATACAGCAAAACATCTTCTTCACACAAAACAGAACTCAAAACTGCTTTGTGTGCTAGAGAGACAGCACTGCTGCCCTTTTCAGAAGTACACACAGAGACTTTGGGACATGAACTATTACCACCAAATGTAACTGTATTAGTTTTCTTTGATAAATTCAGTCTTTTCAGAGTTCAAGACACTTGTTCTCCCAGACTCATCCTGAATGTCTGGTAAGAAGGAGGTATTCTTCACTAACCCATCTCTTGAACAGGTCTGAAAAGGTGTTTTAGATGCTGGCAAAACACTGTCAGTGCTGTCTTCCTCTGATACAGCACCTGCAGCTGAGCTGTAAGGAGCAGAAGTAGGTTGGAGCTCCACTCTATCATTCACATTGCACTCATATTTCCATCTCTTAATTGCTTTCCTCTGCTCCTCGGGGGACAGTCTCACAAGGCACTTGGCTCTCAACACCGGAGATGGAAACAATGTTCCTTGGAGAACTCTTATCAAATATCTACAAAATAAACACAGTTATAAATAAGCTGCTTAAAAGAAACCCAAAACTATTCCCAGTGACCAAAGGAAACCAAACACCATTCAAGTAACCCTGAAGCCTAGTTCCTGGACTGGAAACTAGATGAACCTTAAGGTCTCTTCCAACCCAGGCCATTCTATGATTCTGTGATGTTAGAACTGACTTAACTGGCAACATCGGTTGG